TGCTGAGGAAGCGGAGAGCAGACGGATCTAGCCACACTCCCGGTTAGGGAAGGAGTTTGTTCCCGAGAATAGATTAGCCAGGCAAAGATGGGTGAGGAAAAGAAGAGTTGGTGAACATCGGGACCTCATACTAGACGGTCATCAGTGCCTGTTATTTTTGGAAATCAATGGTTCTCAGACATTGACTAACAAAATATTTTTTATGCCATTGGAGAACTTCTGGGAGCAAGACCTTGCTACAACAGGCTACGAATGTAGACTGAGGCTCTCAAAACAAGACTGTTACTTCTGGCTCTGATGTGCCCAGCCAGGCAACAGCCAACCTCTGCTTCTTGCTCATTCTCTCTCCCTCACCCGTCTCAACAGGTGTGACGTGATTTCCTCTCCCTCACTCTGATTGCTCTTCCAGCTGCACCCATCAAGCAACAACACCATGGAGCAAAATGTTTCCCAAAGTGTAATACAAGTAACACTGGCATAAAAAGAGATTAATTTAAGTAGAACAAGGACAAACTCTTTAACAGCTATACATTTATTTTTGCAAATTCCTTCTTTTTAAATAAATTCAATTCAATTTTATTTAAACTCAAATTTAAATAAATTCGCTAGTCAATTTAAAGGAATATATTGAGTAAATAAAAGTGAAACAAAGTTTGGGTAACATCATTATACTAAGGGTGCTCTAAACTGATCCTTTCACCTTGCTGTACCTCACATTTTTCTTCTGCAAAATGGGAATAGTAAGACGTGCCTCACCGATAGCGGTGAAATGAAAATACCCTTAAGCCATAGCTGCATTTCTGGTCATGGTAGATTTTTAACAATGACAATTGCCTCTTTCTTCCCTTTTTTACTGCCTACATACTGACCTTTCTACTGTCATTCCTATCTGGCCTTTACTATTAAAGATAAAATGTAGGATATTGTACACTGACTGCACTTCAAATGAAAAGCTCAAGATAATCTACTTCTATTAAGCGCTCATCTAAGGCAAGGTTAGATACGTAGATACGTGGACATAGACATAGACATAAATTGCACATATATATGCCAGAACAAAAGAAGTGTTAAAGACTGGAAATCCTTTTTCTGCCCTAATGATCATCAGGCAGACAAAGAGCTTTAATGTCATCATGGTAAAGGTTGTTTAGTAGTCTATGAGTTTATCTTGTTTTAATTTTCTCTAGGTGAAAAGGAGCAGCAGGAGCAGAGGCTTTTAAATAGAAAGAGGGTTGATTCTCAGCCCGTTTACTAGCTGTGTGACCCTGACCATACAACTCGATCCTCCTCAGACTCAGTTTCCTCACCTAACGACCCCTACTGTTACAGGCTGTTGAGAAAGTAGAGACAATGGACGTGAAGCATGGGACACTCTGCCTTGATTAAAGTACGCGCTAAAAATCATGATTATCACAGTTCTTATTTTCAAGTTTATCTACTGCCCATGACCAAACACATAAATAGCTCATTGCAGAAAAGATGCTATTACTCTTAGTCCATTCATGAGAGAAGAAAACCCCTGATTTTTTTTAAAAATGTTGGAAATGCTATCATTCAGAGTTCAATTCTAGATAACAGAAGCCATTCTTGTAATTTTAAGCAGAAAGAGATTTCACGTAAAGAAAGGGGTGCTCACATCATTGTTGGAAGGTCTAGAGCAGTGGGTTCTAGGTGGGGCCATCAGAACAGCAACGCAAAAATGGCCAAACCTGGGGAGACGCTGCTCTGCCATTAAAAGAAAGGTGGGAAATCAAGAAATGGGCACGGAAGCTACGGGCTCCCGGAAAATGTACAATCCATCCAGGGTCAGGAAGCCAGGCCATGACGGTCAGCTGCAGAGTGGGGTTGCTAGATGCAACAAAGGACGCCCATTTAAATTTGAATTTCAGATCAACAACAGAATTTCTGTTAGAAGTGTGTTGTATACAATAGACAGGACACACTTGTTCTAAAAAAATTGTTGTTGATCTGAAATTAAAATTTAACTGGGTGCCATGTGTTTAACTAGGAGTCATGAATTACTCCTCCTTTATCTCAAATTCAAATTTAACCAGGTGTCCTGTATTTTATTTGCTAAATCTGACAGCTCTACTCTGGAGCCACCCAGCCTACCAGCAGAAGGCACACAAGGAGCTGGAAGGAACATGAGACGGGCAATCACTCTACCACGATAGCTACAGAATAACATTGATTCATCACAGTGGAAACTTGGTTGATATTTAACAAATACATCTTGAGCATCTGTTATTTGCCAGGCAGTATAGGCACTGGGGATACGGCACTGAACAAAAAAGACAAAGTCCCTGTCCTCATAGAGCTTATGATCTAGCAGAGAAAAAAATACAATTAACAAAAAGCCCTGCGCATTACGGAAACCCATAAAATTGAAAGCAAAGACCATCTATAATCCTAGCACTCTTCTTCTGTCTTGACGTGGAAAAAAAAGTCTCCCTATCCTTTCTCCCTCCAGTTTTACCTCCCAGAGATAACCATCAGTAAGCCGCGTGTGCGCCTGTACGTGTATTGTAAATAAACAAAGCCTGATCACCAAGTCCTGCAGCGGTGGAAGGATAGAGGCTCGGGCATCTGCCTAAGGGGTCCCACCGTGCAAATTAGAAAAGGACGGAATCCAGACCCCTCACTCCTCTTCCCTCAGGTCCACAGTCCCTGATTCAGCTCCCATGACCTTCCGGAAGTCACTTTCTCCCTTGATCTCCATCCTGCTGTTTCTCCTTCACCTGCCTTGGATCTTCTCAGTCAGAGAAGAAGTAACTCAATCGGAATCAGAGTGGAGCACATACAGGGCAGAGGAACCTCTCTCTGGAGAGTATTGATCAGTTTTCATAAGCACAACTTTTATTTGGTGATACGAGAACACCCCAAGTCCACTGATGTGAGGATGGAGGGAGACAAAGGGAGTGAAGGGGATACGCTCCCCGCCCCACCCCTACTTTCTCTCACACACACAGTTAAGTCTTAACTCCTTGTGTTGTTTTAACTCTTTTAGCCAGCATTAAGGATTCTCCATGTCTGACTCTGACTACGTGACCATGTTTTCCTCCCACCATTTCCTCAAGACAACTCTGCTCCAGCCACTCTCCAAACCTGCTTTTTTGTCTTCCCACTTTTGCATCTCTGTCCTGACATTGCATCTGTACGGAGGACCTTACTATTCCACGCCTCTGCCCGTGAGCACTTACCCCACAGGGATCCAGCTTCAGCCCCTCCTCCTCGGTGATGCTGTTTCAGACTCCGTTCCTCCAGAAGCAGATCTTGAGACAGGGATTTGAGTGCAAGGGCTTTATTTGGGAGGAGGTCCCAGCAAGCTGGTGTCGGGGAGGAAGAAGTAAGGCAGGGAAGGGAAAAGCTAACAAACGGTGTGTATCGAGGAGGTTATATGGTGGGCAACTGGGGGGCTCAGCCGACCAGGAAAGTTAGGGACAGGTATCCCCCAAAAGTGAAGAAAGCTGAAGTGTTTGTCCTCCAGGTCCCACCTGTCACTTGCTGAAGGCTGCTCCTGTGACCGGAACTCCCCTGCAGTTCTGGCTTGGCCCACGTGTGGACTGAGAAACACCTCTGGTGGAAAACAGCAGGTGCACGCAGTAGGATGCTGTCAGTGCACACAGAACCTGGGGGTGCCCAGGACACACGGACCTGGGACACATAGCATTTGGCAAGTTAGACGTGGTTTGCTCCATTATGCTCTCACCACCCTTGGTTTGTATCGTTCCTGCCTCACGTTATAAGCATTTGTGTGTAATCAGAAAAAAATATTAAATTTCTCAGTGTCTCAGCCTAGGTTGCCCCAGAAAGCAGAGCCAGAGGCAAGTGCTTCTGTGCTAGGACTTTATCAAGAAGTGCAACCCAGGAGGGCAGGAGAGGTGACAAAAGGGAGTGAGGCAGGGAAGACAGAAGCGCCCATACAGGTTCAGGGACAGCTACGTTTTGTATTGGGCCACCAGTAAGTGCACCCTGACGGCTTTCTCTCCCAGGACCGCCCTCCAGGATGCTGTGGGAACTGAGTGTCTAGGACACTCCACCAAGCAATGGAGGGGCGAAGAATCCATCTCCCAGTTCCTTTCTCCCATCGTCGCAGGTTCACTGGACTGGGACTTAGGTCCTGCATATCTGCGGTGCATGGGTAGCGGGTGCACTGAGGGAATCCCACAGCCCCCGGCACCTCAGCATTAACAGAGACGCCCCAGGGTGGCGGGCAGGTGACGTGCAGCTGTGGCAGGAGGCAAGGGGCTGTCTGTGGGTGCATGAGGTTAGTCTGAATCTCATCAGCGGCTGGAGCTGGGACTAAATGGTCTGCAGACAAGTGAAGGCAAGAGCATCTGAAGTGGCTTATTAAATGTGGCTGACTCCCAGCTGAAATAACTCACTAGGGAGGACCCAGTCCTCACGTGGACCCACATAGCATGTCAAGAAAATTATGCTGAAAGAACGTGAAGCATCCCCATAGCAGCCTACAAATTACAATCAACTTCCTATTGCGAAAATCTGGTGAAGCAAACTAAAAACAAAGAAGCTGAGTGGACAGAGGTCTTCTTTCCAAAATGTCCGATCGTGGTGTAAAGAGGTCTCTGAGGAGCTGGAGATGGACAGGAAGATGGAAAGAAAGAAGGAAAATAAACCGAGTGGAGCAAATTGTGTGAAACCTCATTGTTCTCAATGAGATAAAGGAACGGAGTTTTGCTGTTCACCTAAGGATCCATCAGAGACATTCTGTGAAGAATTTTTAGCTGTTTTATTTTTACTTGCTAACTTCTACGAAGCACTAATTTTAAGTGTGTACAGATTTTTTATATATGTTTATGAAATTTGCATTGAAGCGGCGGAGGGAACTATCTCAAGGAAGCGGGATGCTCGAAATGTTCCTGGATGCTGTCCTGGAAGGGAGGCACCACGTGAAAGAGGCACGTTTATCTGATGGAAGAATACAGGCCTGTAGAGATATTGTTTAGAGGAAGAGAGAGGAAATGTACTTGACTTCGATCTTTCTATAGCCATGGGCTCCATATTTATTGTTTTTAATCTGGAGACTGTTAAATATGTTATGAGTAGGTATTGATGAAAAGGTCGATGCCACATCTTCTACAACCATGCAGTAGTATTTCAAAAGGAGTTATTTTACTTTAAAGAAAATGTTTAAAGTGTTGATATTCCTTAAGAAATACTCACTTAAATTCTGCAGCTTATGAAGAAATTCATTTTTTAGTTATTCCAAATATGCAGAAAATGATCTGAAAGTTTTATAATTTATATAGAACATAAATGTATTGTTAAAATGTATTAAAGGGTTACACAGATAACAAAATATAATGAATACGACAATGAAGATAGTGTCATCTTTTAAACAACAAATGAGTCTCGATTTCTGGAAGAAGAGCTGTGTGAACCACGCCAGAAGCCAGTCTATGCAATCATATCACTGAGCCATATTCTTGCAGATCGAGCGCTCGGGTATAGTCAGCCATAGCGTCCTCGATCAGCCCGATTTTGCCACGAACTTCTGCTCTAAGATTATACACCAGAGCATCGTTAGGCTTCAAAGACAGGGCTGTAAAAGAAAAACATTTCAAGACATGTTTTATGCTGGCACTGGAAAATAGTCTCATTTTTTAAAAAATAAAATTTCGTAAGAACTTTAGTATCACTTATTTGAAAACATCTTTCTTCAAATGTGCATAATTATTTAGTCAAATTAAATACATCGAATCTCAGAAAACTAAGTTGGGGAAACACAACACAACGTCTTTCTTTGAAAGGCTGGCATTGCTTGTGGATGGTTTCCCCAATAATTTTTTATATCTCAGCTCACCCATGCTTTAAGTTATGGCATAAAGGAATTTATATTGATTACATTAAAGATATGATCTATAAAAACATTAATTCCTATGTAAGTTTATCCAGACCAATAGACCTGATCATTTTCATCTTTTGTTATCTAAAATAAGCCCCTCAAGCACTGTATTCCTACCCAAACAATTACAAAAAGCACACACCTTCAGTTAGGTCTCCCTCAGCCAGCTCGTACTGCTTTAAGCAACAGTGCAAGTGTGCTCTGTTAAAATATACTGCAGCCCAAGAGGGGCAGTTTTTAACTACATTTGCAAAATCTTCTTCTGCTTCTTTGTATTTCTTTAATATTGTATTTGCAATAGCTCGATTCATGGTAGCATATTCATTTTCTGGATCAAATTTTAAAGCCTTTGAGAAGTAGTCACTGGCCTGTAAATGTGAAGATAAGATAATTTGAATGTATTTTAATTGGCAGCTGTATAGCAATTTGAAGTACTTTTACTCTTAATTTAAAATTAAGGCCAGCGAGGTACCAAGGGGGCGGCGGAAGCATGTCATCCCGGCAAATGACGACAAGGAACACAAAATATGATATTAAAACTTGCCAAGAGTTGGTCTGCTTCTCGTTATCACCGTGTGTCAGCAAATCTAGATACTGTGAGTGATAGGGCGCTCCTCCCTGCTGCGGTGACACGCTCCACTCCCCGCCCCTCCAATCCCACATCCCGCACTGCACCAGAAAAAGGTAGATTATGGATTAGAAAAGGTCCCAACAAGAAGATAAAATATGCTAGAAAATTAAATTTTTTTCATGTAAAAGCAGAGTATCTAAGTGCTAGCAAGAGAAATAAATTTTAAAAATAAGGTTCTAAACAATACCGAAAAGGGATAAAAACTCAGTTACACTATGAAAAGTTATGAAGAAGGAAGAGAGAGAAAAAAAATAGCTTGTCAAGAAGACCAAAGACTCTAGATTATTCGTTACTCATCACTGAGCTGGAAGGGACCCTTCAAAGTGTGGTCTGTAGACCAGTACTGGGGTCTTGGTTGGAGAATCATTTGCTTACAGGTCAGCCCAGAGGTAAGTACAGAAACTGAGAGTGAACTATCAGTAACTTCTACAGCATTTTGACGTGGCTGTGACATGGCAGCACATGAACATACTTCTAGTAACTCATTTTTATTGTTTTAGCAATGTATTAATCAACAACTTATCGGAAATTTTTTTTAAAAAACTGACCCTTCACCACAAACAGCAGCAGGTGCTGATTCGACATCTACTACTCAAGGCAGCAATCTCTCCTCTAACTCCACGATGGATGAAAATTTGGCTCCTACTTTAAAACTTACCTTAAAGGAAAGGTCATTTTTAATAATATGGCTTGTTCTCTCCAAGTCCCTCCCACTCGGTTTTTTCCAACACACCACAGTGTTGCTTCCACCTGCCTCCCCCTGTTCTGTGAGTTCTGCTCTTGTTAAGTCTGCAGATGTCATCAAGCCCCGTGGACATTTCCTAGTTCTTTTCTTTCATGACGTCTCTGTGGCATGGACACTCTTGATCTCTCCTTCCTTTTTAAAACTCTCTCTGTTCTTGGGACAGGGTGTCTCCCTGGCTTTTCTCCGACCTCTCTGATCATTTTCTCTCGGTCTCCTCCACTGAACTACTTTTCTCTATGTTTCCCAGGGATTTGCCTTCAATTCACTTCCGTCATGGGTGAAATGAAACACAGATAGCATGGTGGCCAGGAGCCCAGACCAAGAAGCCAGATTTCCGGGTTCAAATCCTGGCTCTACCACTTAATATCTGTCTTTAGGTGAGTAACTAAAGCTCCTTTTGCCTCAGTTTTCTCATCTGTAGAATGGAGGTAACAAATAGAACTCTACTTCCAGTGTTGCTTTGAGGACAAGTGAGGTAATATGTAAAGTACTGAGAACGATATCCAGAATACAGTAGGACTCAATCAATTATTATTAAGTCATTCTTTCTCAGTGTCTACAGATGAAGACACAACATAGCCCCCAGTTAACACTCCATGAACTTTGCTGCCTCTGCCTTTTGAGAGGCAATTAGATCGAGATTGTATAACCCATCTCTCCCCTGATAGAACTACTCTATGCTGCAGATAAGTGCAGTTTAAGGATCTGTTAAGGCGGCAGCAGAATTGACATCCTTCTGTGAAGAGCTCAAAGAGAATTTACTCCTGAACAGAAGGCTGGACTCACAATCGTCAGAAATGAGGCAAGGGAGTAACTCAAAGCAGGGCCAAGGCTTTCTTCAAAAAGTAATTTAGGCTTCATTTTAATTCGCCAATAAATGATCGATCAATAAAGGCCACGCTATTCTACATCAGAGAAGCATGACTTCAATCAGGTAGGAGCAAATGCCTGCTTCAGCTAAGAGAAGAGCACTCAGTGAAACACAATAATGTGCTTAACTCTGAACATTAACTGTCTATCATAGCTTCCAAAGTACGTGACTTAGAAGATGAACGCCTATAAATGTAACGGGGTTCCTTGCAGTATAGGAGTATTAATGGTGACGCGACTAGAGGCCAGAGACACCTGCCACAATGGAGGGCCCTGATTTTTTAACACTTGATCTAATACTCTCATATCCATACTTAATTAGAAAGCAGATCCAGTTATTTTTTAAAAGTCACCTGTAGTTCAAGATGCATGCACGTAGCCCGTCCAAAGGTGGTTAAAAATCATTAAGTCACTAACTAACGCTATAAGAAGCCAGAACACATACATGTTTTCACCCTCTAGAGATTACGGGATCTGCTGAGGGACCCTAGAGCACCCTCACACAGCTGAATGACTGTTCTCGAAGTCTGCTTGTCTCTGGAGGAAGGGTGCTCTGTGAATCCTACACATCCAGGATATCAAGACAGAGGAGTGGACACTTTTTAGGTAAAATATTTGCCCAGCTTATGTGTCCCCAGTTTGGAGGAAATAGACCCATACTAAAAAAAAAAAAATTAAAGATCAAACTACCTTTGGATCTAACCAAAAAGTTTTGCACACGATGCCCACAGAGTTATTAAAGACAAGTTTAGAAGGCGAGGGTCTCCCCCTCATGAGGATCTCAGACATTCATGGAAACAGAAAATTGCCCTGGGCATTGCATTTGTCTTAATCTCATTAACTAACTCTGTGATGTGGAGAAACCTTGCTAGGACCTAGCCAGAGAGTGCTCTGAGCTTGATGAAGTTGAAGGCAATAGACCCAATTGTCAGCCTGGGAAAATAGTAACCTCCCAGCTGTTCACTGAGATCTGAGCTACGACAATCTCCTTCACGCCTAACAGAATCAAACCTTTGATAACTCTCTGTCCCGCCATCTAGCTTCACCACTGAAGTCAACCAGGCTCATCACAGGGGTCAGCAAGCTGTTAGGGTTATGATCTAACTTTGGGAAGAAAAAAGCCAAGCCAAGGCAACAGCAGTAGAAACAGAATAGAGCGGACATATTTGAGAAAAAATGAAGAAGCAAAACTGATAAGATGAGATGACGGATTAGATGAAGGAGGGTGATGAAGAGAAAGTTATAGCTGACACTGATTTTTTACTCAGGTGACTTTATGGAAGATGACATCTTGAATTGGGGAAGGGTTTATACCAAGAAGAGCTGGACTAGGGGTAGAGGTTATAAAGATCAACTCAGTTTGGGCTCTAATGCACTTATAAAATATCCAATTTTAGTGACTGGTGGTATACATGAGTTACGAGCTCAGAAGAAAGGTGCAGGCTGACATGGAGTAAGCCATGGGTATAGTTGGGTGTTCTGAGTAAGGAAATGTAGGGAGAAGAAGGAAGAGCATAACTCCTGGCCCTAAAGAGCTTACAGTCTCATTGGAGTGAGGAGATAAGAGATCGACACAGAGAAACAGTTGTAGAGCGACCCAAGGCAGTACTCAACCGGTAGGGAAAGAATTATGCACAAAGCAGCATAGAGTCAAGATCTCACTTTAAATTCCTACCCACAAACCTAAAATGAGAACTTAATGCTGTCTGGTAATCCTACGACCCTTCCCTAGTGTGTTCACCCTACCACTCTCTAAAAACATTATTTCACATTTTCTCTTTTCTCTTCAAAACTCCTAGCCACCCTGTCCCCCTTTTCAACTGCCCACGCTCACTCTTAACTGATAACTGATACTTGTTTGCCATGGAGAAAATATGTCCATAGCAAAGCCCACCATCAAAATCTACCAATCTCCATACGATTGTGCCCCAACTCTCTGCCTTCCCTCGTGACATAATGGACAGAGTGTCCTGCTCCCTGCAGAGGCCACCCCTGCAACTTCCACACTTCAACCTCATCAAACTCTCAGAGATCTTGATCCTAATTATCCCCGCCACTCTCTCCTACACCAACAATTTCTCTCTTTCTTCTAGATCCTTTCATTAACACAGGAGTATGAATCAATATTCCTCATATTTAAAAAAATAAAAAATAAGAACTTCTTACCTCACTCTGGCTATTACTCCCATTTCACTAATTCTCTTCACAGAAGAATTTGTTTTTTGTTTTTTGTTTTTTTTAAAGATTGGCCCTGAGCTAACAGCTGTTGCCAATCTTCCTCTTTTTTCTTTTCTTCTCCCCAAACCTCCCCAGTACATAGTTGCATATTCTAGGTCCCTCTGGTTGTGCTATGTGGGACGCCGTCTCAGCATGGCCTGATGAGCGGAGCCATGTCCTTGCCCAGGATCCGAACCAGCAAAACCCTGGGCCACTGAAGTGGAGCATGCAAATTTAACCACTCGGCCACAGGCCCGCCCCTGAAGAATTTCTTGAAACATTTGAACAGTCCAATTCTTTGCCTCACATTTTCTCCACAACCCTTTCCCTTCAAAGCTCTGCCTCCACTGCTACTCCAACGATGTTCCTGCCAGAGTCATCAACGACCTCCTCCCCACTCCTCTTCCTCGCCTTCTCAGCAGCATTTGACACAGGACACTTTTCCCCCCTTAGAGCCCTTATTTTGGAGGTGAAACCATTCTCTCCTGCTTTCCTTCCCATCATCCAGGCTGTATGCTCCCTTCTCAGTCTACGTTCTGGGGCCTCCTCTCTGCTTCACTTCTGAACATCAGCCTTACCTCTGGGCTCACTCCTTAAACCCCTTCTCTCCACCTGTACCATCCCTCAGGTGATCTCACATGGTCCCACACAGATGCTAATCCTGAGATAATCGTGCTTCCATGAGACTGTATTAGACGTTTATCACTACTACTATTTTCTTGTTCATTTCCTATTTCTTCCTCCAATAAAATGTGACTCACATCAGAAAAGGAGCCTTCCTTATCTCGTTCAGCTCTGTATCCTCAGGGTCTTTGGTACTGCCTAGCACTTGGCAGGGATATCACAAACATGTGGAGATTGAAAGAAGGATGAGCTAAGACGAATCAGGAAAGGTTTGTGGAACTTTTCCAGCAAAATATGGACAAGAAACATAGCCTCTTGGCACATAAAGGTGCCCCAAAGATCATTTTATTAAGGGGTGTGGTGACATCATTGGGTGATAGAGAAGAATACAGAGGGGACAGGTCTCAGAAAACACAAGCGACAGAAACAACTTTGTAAAATGAGTACGTTGTCTTGGAGGCAAGGGCTGTGAAAAGTTCTGAGAAAGACAGAGGCTGTGGGAGAGGCCTTCCCGAAGCAGGCTAAGCTGGAGGAGATACACTGTAAAGTCCTTTGCTACAGCAACAGAGGGAGCCCAACTTGGAAGGCTACCACGGCATGTCCTCCCCGTTCCCGCAGGACTCTCTGCTATCTGTCCAGCAAAAAATTTATCTCATACAGACGTGAGTAAAAGAAAAGTAATTTGCCTGCTTTCATTGTAAAAACAAGGATGAAAAATAACAGCTTAATTTCTAGAAAGATTATAAAAATTCCCCCAGGAAAAACTATTGCCACAATGTAGATTAAAAATTATTACATAACATTTCAAAATGAGCTAAGAAAAAAAATGTTGGGGAAGCAATTGCATTTAAGAAAACAATAAGTCAGAATTAAAGGATCTCAGAAAAGAGATGGCCAGGAAGATACGACATGGAAATAGATAGAACTGAAAAAAAAAAAAATTAAAAAGAAACCTGAATTATAAAGTCCATGAGGGGATAAAAGATATCTCAGAAAACACAGTAAAGATTTAGAAGAGACTTGAGGAAAAGGCAAAGAAAATGAAACAGAAATCAAGAGATAAAAGCATTTGAGAAAAAATATTTGGTATACAGAACTCAAAGGACATCCAATATATATAGTAATTGGTATTTATTCCCAATGAAGAAAATCAAAACAATGAAACAGAAAAGAATTTTTACACTGAATTCAACAAAAATTTTCTGAAATCTACATATTGCAAATGTACACTGTGTACTTCATAACTTTGATCCCAAATGGTCAACTCTAAGGCATACCTTAGCAAAACTTTTTGTTTAAAAAAAAAAATCTGTGGTTATCTTGACAAAAAGAAGTCACTGATAAAGGAAAAAAAAATCAGGTTTGATGAGGCTTTTTGACCCCTACATACAACAGCAGAAAATAGTGAAAAAATACCTACAAGACACTCCAGGAAAGAAAAAGTGAGGCAAGGATTTTAAACCCAGCCATGCTGTTACAAGATGTAAAGGACACAGGCAAACTGCTATGAACATGAAAACATTCACAGACCATTGTTCTCATGAGCCCTTTCTCTGGACTCTACTAGGGGACTAATTTCAGACAACCAAGAAGTGATTGGCTGGGAGGGAAACTGGCAAAAAGCCTGGTGATGAGGATTGAATATACTTAACTGGAGAACTAAGACAAAAATGTGAAATAAGACTAACAAAATAGTAGGCAAATATTCAATCCTCTGGCAGTGTAGGAATCATGAAACTCACAACAAAATGGGAGAAGAGAGACAGTAGGAAGTAAGCGGACACAGTAAGCTCAAGCATATTTAAGAATAGAAATATAAACATTTTTTTAAAAGAGAATTCTATTAACTAAAATTGCGTAAGAGATGAGAGGGAGGAGCAATGGAGGAAGAGATTAAAAGGTAACTTTACCGTTGTTCATAGTAAAGAAATTAAAGAAATAAGGAACTAAGGGTATAGTTATTTTTATAAAGGTAATCACTAGAGCAAAACTCTAAACTTTCCTAAATATCAGAAAAACTGTGAAAAAAATTAAATAAAATAGACCACAGGATAAAATATTTTAAATATATATAAACAGGAAATATGACATAAAACAACAGAACTGAGACCAAACATATTGATCATGCCAAAATGTAAATGGGCTTAACCCAGCTATTAAAAGGTGAATGTTCTTAAATCAGCATCTAAAGCAAAACCCAACTCTATGCCATATAAAAAGAAGACCTAAAACAAAGGATTCTCAACACGAAAATAAAAGGAAGAGCAAGGTAAGATCAGCACGAGCAAACCTGTGAAAGCAGAGGACTTCTCAGATAAAGCAGGACCTCTGCCAAAGAACACTGAAAGAAACCGAGAAGGGCATTTGTAAGGCTGAAGGCTACAGTTCACACTGCGTATGCAATATGTATGAATATCTATATATGAAATAATGTAGCAGCAATTTTCATAAAGCAGAAATTACAAGAGATGTAAAGAAAACAATATAGGGCCACACTAATTCTGGGATACTAGAATAAAGCTTTCCCAGACCAAGATAAACCAAGTGGATAAAAAGTATGGATATAGGCTAATTAAAAACATAATTAAGGGGTGGCCTGGTGGCATAGAGGGTAAGTTCATGAGTGCCACTTCAGTGGCTTGGGGTTCATGGGTTCAGATCCCAGGTGTGGACCTACATACTGCTCATCAAGCCAGGCTGTGGCAGCATCCCACATATAAAATAGAGGAAGACTGGCACAGATGTTAGCTCAGGGACAATCTTCCTCGAGGAAAAAGAGGAAGATTGGCAACAGATGTTAGCTCAGGGCCAGCCTTCCTCACCAAAAAAAGAAATAATAATAAGGTATATTTTAGACATATACTTTTAGCTCTACAGCCTGATACTAGAAACACTTCTTTGGAAAGGCCCCTAGAATATTAAAAAAAAAGTTGCCATGTATTAGATCACATTAAAATTCAATAACTCCCCAAATTAGAAAATATAAAAGCCCTTACATCTGGACATTTTAAATACCCTAACACTTTTTATTCTTTAGTCAAAGGGAAATAAAATTTCAGGTGCAACATTTTGGGATAGCAAACAAAAATAAAATCATTACAGACCAAAATATGTGGGATATTGCTAACAGCACCACTTGGGAAAATGCATGACTTCAACAACTTATCACCAGACATGAAAGGGAGAAATAAATGAATTAAGCTTTGTACTCAAAAAGATAGACCAAAGAAAAGCTAAATTGAAGAAAAAGAACGAAAGAGTGACCATAGATTAAAAAATGAAAATTCAACTTAAAGTTTGAATTCTGTAAATGTATTACATGTTACAGTTCAAATAAAATAAATTCAAAATATTTCTTAAAAAATCTAATAACCCCCTACTTTTATTTCAGACATTATGAATTGAGGTCCAGAGAGATTAAGAAGTCACAAAACCAGAACATCCGTATCTCCTTAGTCCCAAACAAGTGCTCACAGGACTGAAATTTAGAAAAGGGAGAAACTGAGACGAGTTAGATAATCACATCATGAAAGAGGGTCCTGAAGGAAGTCTGAGATTTGGCTAAATGGCGGCAAAGAGCAGAGGATTCCAGGCGGGGGCTGGCGAAGATGGATAAGAAGGCAATTGCTGACTTTGGGGATGTCCCAAACAACGTTACCTGGACAAGTGTTGAATGGTTGGTGATAATGAGGAGAATAAATCCAAAGAGGTATAACATTTAATAAATAACTATAAACATTTTTATGAAAGGAACATTTTTTTTGGAAAAAAAAAGAACTAGGGGCTGGCCCAGTGGTGTCATGGTTAAGTTCGTGCACTCAGCTTCAGCAGCCCAGGGTTTGCAGGTTCGGGTCCCGGGTGCTGTGATACACACGGCTCATCAAGCCATGCTGTGGCCACATCCCATACACAAAATAAAGGAAGATTGGCATAGACGTTAGCTCAGGGCCAATCTTCCTCACAAAAATAAATTAATTAATTAATTTAATTAAATAAAAAGAAGAGCTAATGAATGATTAGCCTGAGATGTAAGGATTGCATTTTGAAACTATATATGACAAAGAAAGCATTTAGTGTCAAAAAGAAACTCTTAAGGGAAACTCACATTACCTGGGAAAACTGCCTGTGATGAAAGTAGATATTTCCCGCGTTAAAGTAAGCCAGCGAGTACTCAGGGTTTAGAGAAATTGCCGCTTGATAGTCTTTCATTGCGTTCTGTTGTTGACCCATAAACTGATGAATCACACCACGGTTTGTTAAGAATTCTGCCGTTGTATTGATCTGCAGTATAATAGTAGGAGTATTTAGCATCTGGGAATAGTATTTATCTCCGATTTCATGTCTGCAAAAATGAACGTTATGAAATCTACTTGTGGGAAACTAGTAATTTTATAGTGCAGGTGAAACCCCATTAGAACAAATATTTTGAGAAAGGACTTGATATGAAGTTGGTTTAGTGTCAACACTTTGTTGAGTTGGTTGCAATAAAACAAACAGGCTTAGTGCTTTACTCAGCTCCTTTCCAACGCACAGACACAGAGAGAAAAGCTTTACTGTTTAGCTCTGTTAAGCTGGAGGAGAAATTAAGTAACTAACATGTTTATCTGTCCTATGTAATAGCAGTTATCTTTCAGTTCTTTCCTTTTTCTTGTCTCAAAGATTACAATATCTACGCAAATCTACAGAAACAAAACCCAAAATCTAGGGAAAAAAAAAAAGGAAGATTTTCTATCACTGTAAACAAACCCTAAGATTTTTATTTGCCATTTCACTACAAAATAATCTTGGGATATACTTTATTCTTTTTTCAGTTCCTTCAAACACAGAATATTATGTATTGCATTCTTTTTTTATTACAAAATAATATTGATGTCCCATGAAACTACAAATGGCATTTAGTGAGAGGAATCAACATTTATCAGGAATTTGTTTTTTGAACTTTAAATACATTTAGGTTATAAAATTGGCAAGCCATAACTCTACTCCAGGAACCTCCTGGAAAAAAAAAAATAGAAGTATTATATTCTCTACAAGTCACTTGAAAAAAGTATCAGAGAACATCTCACTTGAAGTAAGCTATTGATGGTGTTAATTTATGCTAACGACACTAGAATCTAAGTGGATGTTTACCTTTATGGCAGCATTAATATCCTGAATTGCAGCAGAATTGTCGCCCATCTGAAGACAGACCACAGCTCTCCCTTCATAGGCCAGGTGGCTCTTTGGATCAACTTCTATGGCAACGGTAAAGTGGTTCCAAGCTTTCTGGAATTTTTCTTGGGCCTAAAATAATTTTCCATTTACATGAAGCAGCAAATAGTCCGTAACATGACAAGTGTCTATAATTCTAACTTAATCAAATAAAACCTTTACTAAAGATATATAGTGCTATATCTAAGATACGCTAAACAAGGAAGTAGGCAGTTCTGTGAAGTACATTCAATTGACCTCTGAATAATTTAAGCTGAATTTTAATTAATTAAAAGAAATCTAATTGTCAGAGTCATCTCTTATACCAATCTTGGACAACATAAACTCACAGCCACCATGTGAAACACCAGTGCTTCTGACAATCATCACAAAACGTACATTGAGCTCCACACGCACAGGCAAGGATTGTATTTACTTGCTTGGCATTGAATCTCCAATTACACATAATGAATACATAATAAAACAAATATGTGTTCAATCAATAGATGAATAAACAAATGGTGTTATATCTATTTTGATAAATTATACAAGCGTCTGGAATTTTAGGATCACTATACATACTCCATGGAAAATGCATGTAAATCTACCAGGCATCCATTTATACCAACCTTAGCACCAACCAGAAAACCAGACAAAAGGTCAGAAGAGGGAGACTGTTCATCGAACGATGTCAGAGTGTTTCCTAGAGAAGACCAGTTGGTGACCAAATACCTCGTCACAGGACGGCAGCACGTTGATAAACTCAGCCCGGTCCAGGGTCCGTCCTTTACTCTCGTGGGCTCAAAATCTCAACCTGTCAGAATCTCAGAAGCTGACTCACATAAACCAAGCTGAGCCCAGTGACTTTTGCAAAAACTAATAAGCAATGTAACTAATAAGATAACTAGACACAGTTCTTTAGCCAGCAAATCTTTTCCCTCAGGGTAAATTACCTGGAACTCAACATTGTGATCACGAATTCGTTTGATAAACAAGGAACCAGGCAAATTGAGATTAGGTTGTTACACTATTAAACAGCAAACAACCTCACAATAAGATTTCTGTCTTCTCTTCCTGACGACGTCTGTTTGGCTCACTTCTAGATCCCGAGTGCTAGACACATGGTGGGGGAATCTGTACGTATTTGTTGAACAAATCGTCACTCCTTCCCCTGAACAGGGCTTGGATGGGCCCTCTAACTCAGCTTTTCCAGGCTTTCCCTTCCTGATTCCACCCTTCCTCATACTGCTGTGCTTTTCGATCCTCCTTCAGGTTGCTATCTACCTGGTGAGATCTTCATAAAAACACAAATCCGATGTCACTGCTCTCGTGAATGATACTCACATTTTTAACTGGTCTGCAAGGCCTTCACCTCTAGTCATCGTTCAATTCTCTAGCCTTATCCCACATCACTCTCCCCCTGTGCATAGCGCTCCATCCACTTGGGCCCTCTGTCTCTTTCTCAGAAGAGTTTCTGGTGGGCTGTTCCCTCTGTCTGGAACTCTGTGTCCTAGCCCCAACTCCTGCCTCTGACCAACGACTAGTCTTTCAAACCTCAATTGGAACGTTAATTTCTCAAAAAGCCTTCTCTTACCCCTTAAACAAAGCTAGGTTCCCTTGTTACACGTTATCCTAAAACCCATCCTTTTCCTTTGTTGCACTTATCACGAGCAGTTAAATAATTATTCACATGGTTGCTTGACGTTCATCTCTCCACCAAATGAACCAAGTACATTCCATTCACTGCTGTATCCCCAGGCCTGGGGCGGTTCCTGTCCTATATTAGGCATTCAGTGCGCCTTCGGAACGCAATGAATGCTGAAGTTAATGCATTTTATTGGATTGCAAGCCCTGGCTGCTTTGGGAGTCATCATCCTGTCTCTTTAAATTGACTTTGCAAATTTCTACGGCGTTCCAATAATGGCTAATAATTTTATGTTTAACTCTCAGAAGGCAATCTTATTTCCCTTATTAATAAGTTCTTGGGCATACCTCACTGCAACCACCAATCCCAAAAATCACCTCCAATGTTATTAGTCTCAGATCAGCCAAACTCACTTATTTTTAAATGAAAAAAAACAAAAATCAACTTTAATGGCAAATTATTAACAGGAATTTCTGCAAGTTACAAAAATTCAAACATACTTTTTGCCCATTGTTTAACATTTTGGGTATTAAAAGAAGATTTAAGATTACTCAGTTCCTTTTCATGAATATAGTACTTTAAGCACTTTATTCCAAAAATGTCACTACATCTTTTATTAGTGTAAATTAGTGTGAATAGGTTGGTGGGTGCATGGGTCCCGTCAGAGTGTCCCAGAAATCACTCAGAGACTGACTTGGCCCCGCAGAGAGGGCCACGCTTGCATCTTGCTGGGAGGACAAATGCTGGTTGGTCTCCTGCCCTCCCAGTGTGTTCTAATTCACTGCCTTTTGGGAAGATGAGCTGAATTCAGAAGTCCCCATACAGTGCTTGTCTGACCCATCGCATGGCTGGAGTCCACTTCAAAACTTTCATACATTGTTTATTCTCTCTAGCTTTTCACTAATTCGACAGGACAAAACCTAGGGAGCGCAGGTGAAGCTAGTGAAACAAAGGTTAGCCAGATTCTTGTATGTGAAACTCATCAGGCAAATTCAACAGCTGTCTGTAAGTGTCAGGGGGAAGGAAGGAGGGGTTCAGGCATTAAGGAAACAGGTTCCAAGATCCTCATCTCACTACACAGCAGGGCCCCAGGCCTGCTCCCCAGGGAGGCTCCTGTACCCAGGAATGAGACCCCTGCTTCCCGCTGCTGCTCTGGATACTCACAGCAGGGGAAAGGTCAAGTGTTCATAACCAAAGGGATAACACTACCCCCATCGCCAGTGAGGGCCAAATCCATTCTCTCTCTTGTCCAAAAGGTGCTTTCACGGCCCAAAATCAAACTATATAATATTACCTGCAAGTTATAGCCTAAACTAATTCTGGCTTTTGTGTACGCTGGATTGAAATGCAACACTTTCAGGAAGTCCTTCTGTGCTTGTTTGGTGGCTTCATCACGGCCATACTCCATGTAAGAATTTCCCCGTCCAACGTAAGCATCCAGAAAATGTGGATTAATTTTAAGAGCCCAAGTGAAGAAATCGACAGCTTCTTCAAATTCTTTATTCCTGAAAATAAATGAGAATATCGATGCTTTCGGGTGAGTTTTCTAAGTGCTTTCCTGTAGATAACTTTTTCATAAAGATTTGCATTGACCCTAATAGAAAACCTTTCCTTTTTCTTGTCCATCATAGGAAGGAAGTATGTAAGTTCATGTGACGTAAGGAAGTCTGATAGGGTCTCTGAAGATTTTAGTAAAAGGGGAGAGGAGGGTAAGAGCCGTTTTTATAGCAGAATATGCTGGGATGATAGTCTGGAGTTCTTTTTTCAGAATTACAAAAGTCTGAATGGCAATCCTGAACCAGTTTTTTACAGCTATCAGTGGCCAATGTAGAAAAACATGTGCTCTTATTGACAAAATACACTACTTAAATCAGACTAAAATAAATTTATTGATGTGTACTTAATATTGCCCTATGCAATGAAAGGAGCCAAATTTTCCTTACATGGAAGTCCTTACTTCAGATTTCTGTGAAAGCAGGCCCTTTCTTTGTGGAGAGGAGGGAGAAAAAGAAGTAAGATGCATTTTATTTATTAACTTGTGAATACATGCGACTAAATGATAACTCTGCCTCTCCCCTAATGACTCTCTTGTGGTGGGGTGAGGGCTGTTGAAGAGATCAAACATTCGTCCATGGGCAGAGAGTTGCATTTCCATCTCACATGCTTATTTAACAATTATAGTTAATCTCCATTAACATGGAGAAAGTCGAGACATTTTTTAAAAAACAGAATGCAGGAGCTAACATCGAGAAACTTGCCAGGTACTGTGCTAAGTGCTACGTAAATATGCTGTTCCACTGAATCCTTCCAACGACTCTAAGCTAGCTGTAATTTTCTACATTTTATAGATTAAAAGAAAATGGCTCAGAAAAGTCTGCACCTAGTAAAGAATATAGTAAAGAGCATGCTAAGGTTGCACAGAGTAAATGTCTGGGATTCAAACTCCGGTAAACCCTCCTCCAAACGCCGTGCTTTTCCGCACGGTCGTCTCTACGGCACCTTCCTCCCTTTAACGACACCTGCAGCTGGCGCACGAGCGCTGGCATCTCAGCAGAGAGGCGGGAGGAAGGCTCGGAGTCAGACCTAAGCCTGAACATGCAAGTTAATACTGAGCTTTCTAGGCTGTCACGGGGACCCAATGCGAGCATCTGAAAGACACGTAGCACAGGGACCTGCACCCAGTAAAGATGATTATCTTCCTTCCATTCCTTTCATTCCTTCTCCAGAAGATTTCAAAATCTAACAAGATGCATCACTTCTTCGCCAATTTTTCTTTTACAAAACACATGGAACCCAAGATAACTGTTGTAGAAACTATCACTTCCTGGCTGTTACCCAGCAGTATCTCTTGAAACACGTTTCCCAAACTTCAGCCCCTCCTTCGTGGCAGTGGCTCCACCTACAGTATCATTTACTGAACATTTTTCTTTAAGTCAAATCACTGTTTTATTTAACTAAATCTGTTTTAAGAGACACTTAATTTCAATACCATAAATAAAAATCAGTGCCTCATGCCATAAATAGAAGGCAGTCACAAAAATAAATAAATTTTGGAGCTGGATACTGTAGTCTGCAGAACACTGAACCTGAGGGCTGCCCCATCTATCACCGTGTTGGAAAGATGTTTAAGACTAGCTCTTAGCTAAGGCTTTCTCCTTGATGTATTCAGAAGGTTTGTGAAGGAATTCAGTTTGAAACTGAAAAGCAATTAAGTTTCTCACAATGTAACTTAGTGTTTTTTAATGCTGTCAAGTGAAAGAGAGGAAGGATTAACTAACGATCATGGAACAACTGACAACTGGCATTCACAAAGAAATAAAGTTGGATTCTCACCTTACTCTTTACAAATTCCGGATGGATCCAAAAAAATTTTTTTTTTTTTTTTGGTGAGGAAGATTGGCCCTGAGCTAACATCTGTTACCAATCCTCCTCTTTTTCGCTTGAGGAAGATTGTTGCTGAGCTAACATTTGTGCCAATCTTCCTCAATTTTGTATGTGGGACACTGCCACAGCAAGGCTTGATGAGTGGTATGCAGGTCTATGCCCGGGATCCAAACCTCCAAACCCCAGGCCGATAAAGCCAAGTGAGTGAACTTAACCACTATGCCACTGGGCCGGCCCCGCAAAATTTTAACGTAAAAAATAAAACCATAAAAGTATCAGAAGAAAACATGCGTTTATGGGGGGAGAAGGCCTTGATTTTTACAGAGTCAAATGTATCAATATTTTCCTTTATGCCTTCTGGAGTTCATGATTAATTTGACTTAAAGCAAAAGTAAGAAATCCTGTAGGTTTAAAAAAGGAGTTACACCACAAACAAAACCAAACGCAAAGGACAACTGAGGAAGCACCACATAAGGGAGAATGACTAAGTTCCCAGCTTTGGGAAGAGGCCATGCAAATCAGTAGGAAGGAATGACAAGTGGCCCAACCAAACAGGACATTTTCCAGGAAGGAAGGAAAGGTCACACAGTCAGCAAGTACAGTAGTCCCCCCTTATCTGAGGTTTCATTTTCCATGGTTTCAGTTACCTGTGGTCATTAGCAGTCCAAAAATATTAAATGGAAAACTCCAGAAATAATTCATAAGTTTAAAATATATATATATATTTTAATGCTTGTGCACACCATGAAAAATAATTGAGGTACTCATGATATTTGCTCCATATTTTGGCAAACACTGCTCAAAAGTGGGGCATCAAGTGCTCTCATCACACAGGAATCAACAGGAAAGCTTGGCTTCCAACGTCCCAGACAGGCGAAGGTTAACATTCACGTACATGAGCCAGGTGGTAACTTCTGTGTTCTCTCTGTGGATTCTCACTAAGAAAACAGAAGCTCACTTCCCTCAAGTAGTTTACGAGACAATTGTGCTTCTCTCCTGATAACTGGCACCATTTCAGAAGTAAAAGTTCACTGAATATTGGGTCGCAATGCCTGTAGCTGCCTTCTCACTGTATTACAGAAATAATGCTAACATAGACAACAAACTCTTATCAAGAATAATTAAACAGGCCAAAGCAATGCTGGGAAAAAAGAACAAAGCTGGAGCTATCACACTCCCTGATTTCAAAATACACTACAAAGTTACAGTAACCAAAACAGCATGGGACTGACAGAAAAACGGACACATGCATTAATGGAACAGAATTGAAACCCCAGAAATAAACCCACACATCTATGGACAGCTTCCCTTTGGCAAAGGAGCCAAGAACATACAATGGAGAAAGGAAAGTCTCTTTGATAACCCTTGTTGGGAAAACTGGACAGCCACATGCAAAAGAATAAGAGTAGGCCATTATCTTACACTATCCACAAAAAATTTAACTCAAAATGAATCAAAGACTTGAATGTAAGATCTGAAACCATAAAACTCCTTTAGGAAAATATACGCAGTACACTCTTCGACATCAGTCTTAGCAGGATTGTTTTGAATATCGTGTCTCCCCAGGCAAGGGAAACAAAAGAAAAAATAAACAAATGGGACTACGTCCAACTAAAAAGCTTCTGCACAGCTTTTTTGGAAAAAAAGCTGGATAGAAAAGATGGAAAGGAAGTCATCCACAAAAGAAAAAGACAAGCCATCAACTGGGGAAAAATATTTCTAAATCATATATCTGATAAGGGGTTAATATCCAAAATACATAAATATATAAAGAACTTATACAACTTAACAACATAAAAACAAACAACCTGATCAAAACATGGGCAGAGGATACAAACAGACATTTTTCCAAAGAAGATATTCAGATGGTCAACAGGCACATGAAAAGATACTCAACATCACTAATTGTTAGGAAAATGAAAATCAAAATTACAATGAGATATCACCTCACATCCATCAGAATGGCTATAATTAATAAGACAGGAAATAACAAGTGTTGCAGAGGATGTGGAGAAAAAGGAACCCTTATACCCTGCTGGTGGGAATGCAAATTGGCACAGCCATTATGGAAAACAGTATGGAAATTTCTCAAAAAATTAAAAGTAGAAAAACCATATGATCCAACTATCCCACTTCTGGGTATTTATCCAAAGAACATGAAAACACTAATTCGAAAAGATATATGCATCCCTATGCTCATCACAGCATTATACACAATAGCCAAGACTTGGAAGCAACCTAACTGCGCACAAAAGGATGAATGGATAAAGAAGATATGGTCTATATATATATACAGTAGAATACTACTCAGCCATAAAAAAGATGAAATCTTGCCATCTGCAACAACATGGATGGACCTTGAGGGTATTATGCTAAGCAAAATAAGTCAGACAGAGAAAGACAATTACTGTATGACTTCACTCATACGTGGAAGATAAACAAACACACACATAGATAAGAAGGACAGATTTGTGGTTACCAGAGGGGGACAGGGTGGGGAAAGGGTGAAAGGAGTAAAAAGGCATGTGTGTATGGCTACAGATGGCAACTAGACTTTTTGGTGGTGAACAGGACGCAGTCCATACAGAAGCCAAATATAATGATGCATGTCTGAAATTTGTATAATGTCATAAGCCAACATCACTTCAATAAAAAGAAATAATAATTAGACTAGTAATTCTGTATAAAATGCATTTATTTGATGTTTTGTTGTGCTCAGGATTTCTATCTATGAGTAGTGAATTATTTACTTACGATGCATACCTATGGTGACCATGTAAACCTAAATTTCCATGGCAGTCCCAGTTCTCACATTTTTCCCATAAATCATTGAAATGCTCTTAGTATACTGACATCCAAATTGCATTAGATACACTGAAACCTCTTGCCCATAGGGAAATTAAAAATCCTTTGTGAGTACATATGCCAATATACAGTTTATAAAATATAATCTCACCCTTTGTATAGACTAACCAATTTAAAAAGAAAAAAAATGAGGCAATGAATTGAAGCTATTTTTCTATACCTATCTAGTTATCAGCACTAATGTTTAATGAGCTAGTCTGTTCAGAGTAAGTGAATAATCACTAAACCTTAAATCTGGAAAGGGACCTTGAAAGCCACCTTGCAAGCTCTTCAAAGCTGATAATGACTGAAAATGAAGACGTGTGTATCACAAAGTATCCTATAGGCTGAGGCTCTTGTTAATAATCACATGGTGCTTGGACAGTGGAAAAACATGGCAGAATATCTGTGTTGTATCTGGATACATGTTCACAGAGATAAATTGTTAAGCATCAACTCCACAAATATAAAAGTCTATCAAAATAGTTTTTCTAAAATAAAATGTGTTTGTATAAATCTAAAATAACGTAATCACTGACAGAAAGGGTGTGGTTCTCATTTCAGTGTCCGTTAACTCCGCATCGTGTGCTGAGCCCACAGGTGAGGCCACAGGCACAAAGGCCCACCGCATTTTCCACATTAACCACATACGCGACCAGATGTGCTCTACCGAGTTGTACAAATAAATCATAAATACCTCCCAAAACTAAAGAATGTAGCTTGCAGAGTCAAAGATTCAAAAGTATTTTATGCAAATGTAAGAATAGTAAAATAAACGTGCTGAAGTAAAAAGTGGGGTATATGTAACTGAGTCATCAGGCTCTCCTCTGTGACATATTTTAAATCTGAAGGTGGCTTTCTCAAAGATCTAAAATTTAACTCTAGCAGAACACTCTCAATGACCAAACTGGGCAACAAGCGGGATATTCAGCCTAAGGAATGTTGTCTCCTAGCAACCACAAGAGTGAGAACCAGAGATACACAAAGGCATCCTTCAAAAGTCTGCAACCCCATGAGTTCAAAGATCAAAGTCCTAAAATTTAAAGATTCCTTCTTTTAAAAGAATTTTCCAAATGGGAAAATCTTTACTTTCTCCACTCTAAGATGCCAATAGCGAATCTCAAAACTCACAGACCACGCCGCTGCGGTGTAAGCACATTACAGTTTACCTTGAAAAGCAAAAATATTTTCCTGAAATACATATAACCAATCCCTGAACATTCCTTACTGTTAAATTCAGATTTAAACTCTACTTTTATTAAAGGACAATAGAGATTCCAGTCGGCTGATGGAAGTTGGTTATTTGGAATTGCAAAGCAGTATCAGCTTAAGGAGGCTCTGCCATATATACCCAGTGATTACATTTCATAAAAGAGACCGGAAACCGGCACACAGAGAAATTTACTGACTCTAATAGCTGCTAAACACAGGACCGAGGTTGAGAGAAATTCTGGAATCTGTTTTCAGTTTTAAGAGAATGCAATGACCTCAGACATTTTCGGTCTGCACTCACCCACCAAAACAAACACATTAGTCATCATTATTGCATCTCTTTTTAAGAATGACGGTGACATAAAGACATGGATTGTACACAGGCTGCTGGTTTAAAATGGACAGTGGTGTGACTAGGTTTTGCTGTCTGTGCAAAATTAAAGGTCCGAGGGCAGTTTAGGCCTTAAAACCCAAAGACAACTTCACAAATTCCAGTTATTATATTACTATGTTCATAAAATTAAAAAATCTAACTCTCGTAGGGAAATATAGCTGTACTATCTATGCCTTAAAACAGGGAAAAAAAGAATGTCAATTTCCTAAATAATTCAAGCGATGTCCTATTGTCTAAATTGGATACTCACACAGCCTAGTCTCCCGTCCTAATTTCCTCCTCCAATTAACCGCTATTGCTCCTCTCACGAAAACTAGTGCTGTAAAATATCACTTAACCAAATACATTTTATCCCACATTAAAACCATCACATGCTGGATCTCTGCGCTTTTAAAGGTAAAATGACCAGAAATTAATATTTAGATGTCAGATGTACATGCAGAAATATAAACATTACCGTTATCCAAATGAATCTCCCGTACTCTAATCTCATCTCAGAGCAACTTTTAAACTGGTCACCTTCAGTGCCCAGCCTTACGTAACTGTCCTTTCTCCCCTTCTACAACTTACCTATTTTTACAGTAATCCCAAAAACAGGTAATAATGTTTTAAGTAATATGTCTTTGTAGATTTTTGTGTACTATGTAGATATTTACTGGCATTGTTTTAAATGGTTTTAGCTTTAGAATATCTTCTAAAAGACAAAATTTTCTCGGAAATAAAGTATTTTTTGAGACCACCCTCTCTTCCAGGAAAGAAACTTTTTAAAAGTTAGTTCCACTTTATGAACAAAATAAATTACTTGATTTTATTTGTGTATATTTCAAGCTATGTGTGATTTTATTCTGTATATTACCAAGGTCCTTTCCCAGTCAGTGGCCTTGAATCAGATGGACACCTCAGTGCCGGGATGCAGATGTTTACGAGCTGACTTGGCTAAAACAGTTTATTAGACGATAGAAGGGTACTGATGACACACTTGGGTGTGCCCCCACTCCTATACAGGGATTCTTTCTGTTTCTCCCCATTTTTTGTACTCTGTCACTTCCACAGCATTTTCCTCTGTTTTTCCTGTTCTTCTATGATAATTGTCAATTTGACAGTCCCGCTTGCTTTCACTTGAACATAAACTGCACTCCGTACCTGTGATGGCATATGGCAGTGGCTTGACAAAGGCTCACACTAGTCTTGCTTATCAGTGCAGCTTGCTTGAAATCCTGAAACAGTTTTATAAACTTTTGTTAATTTTGCAACATTATCTTTGGTGCTTTCTTAAACTTCCTTCTAACTTTGAGTCTGCCATGAATATACTTAACACAAGCATTAAAACATACATGTTCCTAAAACTTTTTTTTTTCCCTTTAGTATCACATCCAGTAAGAATGGACGGATCAGAGGAAACCCATAACTGGAAACTCACGCAGAATTGTGTGCTACTGGTCTCCACTTTTCCTGAGCTTTTGCCTGCTATGTGCAACAAGGTACTTCATTTAATTTCTTTTTATTGTTTTTTTTTTTCCAATCACCACCACCGGAGACTTCCCTATCCAGATGGAAATGGAAATTCACCTGGAGAGAACCTTTGGTGTGATATGACTAGAGGACAAATAGGTACCCTGGACCCAGGGAAAGGGCATAACTGGGCCTTTCAAGTGGATTAGCTAAGGCTGCTCCAACAATTGGAATCCATGCTTCCCAGGAAAAGTCCATCATTTTGTCCAGGGATCCCAGAGACCTACTAAGACGGAGTAATGGAAAGAAACTCTGACCCCCAGATTTAAAGTTAGGGAGGTCACCTGGGATGGACTCGAACACCCCTGGGGAAGAGGTTACTTAAGAGTATTAAAAGTGCTAAGTCTGCAAGAGTTCTTGCCTCTGTGGCTCCAAACACTGTCCTCTGTTAGGCACCAGAGACACACAGTCCGAAGCTCATAAGCTTTTCAAAGCCCTACAAAAATATTTGGAAACCTGAAGCAAAATAAGAACATCACTAGGCTGAAATTAATACAATATTTAAATAAATATCTACATATCAAAATGTCACGTCAACTGCAATGGTTCTGCTTTTTCCCAGAAGACAGCTTCGGCAGGAATATTCAGGGGTCATTTTGGCTGTAACCTCACTTGACCAAGCTAAACAGGGGGGAGCACTGTAACCTCCTCTGCAGGGGCAAAGGAAATCCCTCCAGATGCCCTTCCTGGAAGCTGGGACACTGGCACTCTACAGTCTCAAAGGGCAAGTGGCAGAGTTCTGCTTTCTACTCACCTGGAGAGGAGCTGACCATGCGAGCCAGTCTCCCTTTCCCTCCCCCAACCTCCTCCTTCCCCTCCTTGCTCCTTCCACAGACCTTCCCAGTTCTACCAGAGGGAGGAAGCTGGCTTTTTATGGGGTAGAACGAGTTTTCTGCAAATACTAGGGGTGGCAGAAGGAGTAGTGGGGTCAAACTGAGTGCTCTGGGATCCTACTGGAGGAAGAAGGTGTCAGTCACAGACCAATCTGTGAACGTGGACTCCCCACTTAGATTCCTGAAGCATATATTGATACTAAATGCAACTATTTGGAAGAAAATAAGAAACTTATTGCCTAATAAATATAATCTAATCAAACATGCTACCAGATAACTCCTTTAAGAGGATTGTTTAGCTAAAATGGAAGCAAACCAACGAGTATACGTGAGATTTATGACAAACGTTTCCATTAATTTCGGGAGTTGCGAGGAGTGATCACTAACTTAAAGGCCAAGAATTCAAGCTTAGTTTTGTCATCAGATACTTACAAAAGTCAACTTGTCTCTACACACATAGTCATTACTATACCACATGGTAATTAAGCCTTAATTATCAACAATAGACATAAATGATGACGATTAGCACTACTTAGAATAAAGCTAACCATAATTTTTATGATTTTTCTCTTCTGCATTAATTTTTCTCTAATATTAGGATCATAAATAACCACACAATGTCGCTCATATACAAAGCAAATTCCCTCCGCTGTCATTTCCTCAGCTGATGAGTTTACTTGTGAGGACCCTCACCCACACTGTCTGCCTTTCTGTGTCAGAGGGTGGGCCCCTGACAGCATTGCTTCCCATCCCCTCAGGAAACTCGTTCCATCATATTCCTGCTGTCTTCTGTGTCTTGTCTCACTGCCCGAACTAAGATGCCTTCCCTCAACCCTCCCTGCCTGCAAACCACACATGGCCATGTCTTTCTAGTGCCTGTCACCACCAATCTCGCGGAAAGCATGGTTAACACGCACTGTCTCCAAGTGCCCAAATTCCATCAACTTCTTATTCTTGTTTAATAAGGCCAGCTTTATTTTGTAATTTGTAAACTGCCTCTAAAGAAAATATTTCTTCTTATTATTATTAAAGTTTAACTCATATATATGGTGTATAGGTTCTAATAAAACGAGAAAACTTACAGTGCTTAGAGTGATCCCTGCTCCACCTTTTCTTTCTCCCGAGTCCCACTCCCCAAACGCAATTGCTTTTACATCTTCTTGTTATTTCTTCTGCTATTTACCTTCAAATTTCTAAATAACATGAGTATTATATTATGTTTAACTTCCAACATAGGAGAGCGTTTAGCTATCTAACACCATCACTCGACACACTTCCCCTCCTCCCACCATCCCTGCATATCTATGACAATTTGTTTGTTTTAGTTTCTGTTTTACCTTCCTCAAGCACAGGATCCTTGGCTACCCATTCATATTTAAGTTTGAGGCATTAAAATCTGGAAAGGTAGTTTTGAGCACCTGAACATCTCTTCTCCACTATCTTTGACCTTGTGGAATTACATCTTTTTTATTCCTTTACTATCTTCCGGGTAGGTTTCCAAGAGGACAAAGAGATAAACAAATGTTCTCAATCCAACGAGCTTAACCATTAACTTCGTGACCAACGCCAGTCTAAGTGCTGCACTCTGCTTCCTAGTCAAGGTGTTCCTGTGAAGGTCAGACAGCTGTCACTTAAGACACGAACTAAGATGTTTTCAGCTCGCAGCCTGCTTGGCCTCTCTGTTAATCAGTCATTCCCACTAAAAAGTTTTCCCTGGGCGAGTTTGAAGACCCTGCCCTCTCTTGGTTCTTCCTTTAGCTCTCTTACTATTCAGTCTTAGATTCCTTCATTAGTTCCTCCTCAGCTTGCATCTTTTTTTGTTCAATTTTTCAAATTAATTTTTTTACTTTACATAGAGAAAATTTCACTTTTTGGCTTTTAATTAGTGTTTGTAGGGCATATGTTTTTCCAGCCTTTTACTTTTACCTCTCTACATCATTATATTTAAAGCGCATTTCTTGTAGCCAGAATATAGTTGGGGCTTTTTAAAAATCCCAATCTGACATTCTCATTATCTTAATTGGCATATTTTGACCATTTCATTAAATGTAAGTACTGATATGGTTGGATTTAGGTCTACCATTTGTTTATTTATTTTCTGCTGGTCTCCTCTGTTTTCTGCAGCTTTGTTTTCCCTTCCCAGATTTATTTTGGATTATTGTAAAATTTTTTGTTCCATTTTAATTAATCCACCATCTTTCTGACTGAAGAAGGCACATTTGAGCAGGCATCTGAAATGAAAGGAGGACATGAGCCACACACAGATCAGTAGGAAGAGTGTTCTATGCATAGGGGATAGCTCGTGTGAGGACCCTGCGGCAGGAAGGAAGCCTGGCATTTCCGAGCAATAGCAAAAGAGCAGAGTGGAGTGACCTGAGAGGAGAAAAGAAGAACGTTTGATGGTGAAGTCAGATCAGTGAGCAGGAGTCAGATCACGGAGGGTCGTGATTGGCCACAGTCAAGAGCTCAGATTTTATTCTAAGAGTGATGGAAAGTCACTGGAGGGTTCTGAGCAGAGGAATGACTTGATGTGCTCTGTGTTTTGGAGAGGGCTCTGGCTGCTGTGTGGAGAACAGCATGTAGAGGGACAAAAGCAGAGGCCAGCGAGGAAGCTCCTGCTGTCGTCCAGGGAAGAGGTGGTGGAGGCTTGAACTAGGAGGACAGTCGTGGCGAAAACGAGAAATGACTGAATTCAGAATGTGCTTTGAGGGTAGAGCTGACTGGACTTGCTCATGAGTTAGATGTGAGGCGTGAGCAAAGAGAGGGCTCAAGAATGATTCCCGTTAGACCATGAGCTCCTCGAGGACTGGAAATCTGGCATATTTATCTTCACATCTTCAGTGCCAGTACCTTGCCTTGTCTGAAAGAACACAGGATTTGGAATCAAGTGAGACCTGAGTTCCAATATTGCCAGTACTTTCTGGCTGAAAGACTTTATTTAACCTCTTTTGAATGTCAGCATCCTCTTCTATAAGTTACAATCATAAATCACGCAGCATTGTTGAGAATCTGGTAGGTAGCAACTGTGCAACAAATAGAGTTAATGTTGTTGTGAAGGACTCAGGAAGTATTAGATAACACAGGTCTCACATTTAGCTCTCCAGCGGCTGAGGTCCTTTGCTCCCAGTCCCAATTTCCTCCCTTTCTTCACCCCAACACCGGTGCCCAGAGTGCCATAGCTTTCTTGCCTACTCCAAACAAAGTCCTTTAGCTCCCCTAGCAGAGGAAATTCCGAATGGTGTATCTCAAAATCAAAACCTAAAGAAGTGCAACTCTTGAAATTACATTTCAGCAGAGTGCAAACTGCCTAGAATAAAGTTTCTCAGGCACTCCTTAATAATAAGTCATTCTGTAGGGCAGAATTGCAAAAGAGGACTCCAGAAGCAGAAAATTCATACACGCCATCTTTGAAGGTGAGGAAAATAGGAAACACTCCATGACATAATGTTCTGCTGTGGCTCCTCAGAAACAACGAAGCCCAGCTACCATTATTTCACTGCAAACTTCAAATTGCTATTTAATTTTTGTCTTGTATTTCTTAATCTTAATTCCAAAGTTAACTTTAAAAAGACAATACAAATAAGATAAAATTAAATGAGAATGCAAATTTTGCTTAATTATTCTATAAAGAAATACTTTTTAAGCCACATGTTTCTTTTTGATATATTGCAGATGCTGTCTTCTACCGCAATTCTGAGTGCCGGTTCCTACTAACTTAAAAATCTATTCTGAGGAGCCTATTGTGAGCAGCTATTTTCTGCCCTGTGCAAAAAAAAATACATTTATTTTGATATATTTTTAATGAGTAATGAGGAAAATTGTGAATGAGAAAGACCACCGGCCAGCAAAGTAAACGATACATAAATTGATTTATTTGCCAAATAATAGAATTTTGTGTGTAAACAAGATACTCCCTTGGGGAGGTATAGTCTTGATATTTCATCAAATCAGACACATTTATTTTTTTTTTTACATATTGGCTATTTATCTGTAATCAAAACAGTAAAAATACACATTTTTTGCAAAGATTCTAGTAGTCGTTCAAAGTATTTCGATACAATTCTTGCTGAAGTTGAGTTATTGCTCATTAATATTGACATTTGATATCGAGAAAAACTTGCTCACTATTTTCAGCAGTGAACCTGCAAAATCAGGTGGGTTCATTTTTACAAGGAAACAGGAAGTATTACCTCTAACGCGAAACTGTACTGCTCGAGCTCTACGTAGATGAGTCCACGATTAATGAAGGTATTTAATGTCACCGTTTCTCCAGCATCAAGAAGCAGCACAATTCCATAATCCGTTAATGCCTAAAAATAAAATAATCACTGACAACCTAGATTCAACCCCTTACAGCCTTACTGTATTGGCCATAGACAAATGTGTTTACGCCCAAACTAGGACCTCATAGCTAGTTCTTTAATTTGACTTCTAACTTATGGCCAAAAATCATCATTTGTTACCTTTCAGGCATCCCCTAAACTAAACATTATGGATACTGCCGCGTTCTATGAAGTGGCGCGGACGGTGACTGCGCTTGCGCCTCACGTGTTATTTGTGACTCCTCCTAAGTATTTTCATTGTCTGTGGGTGGGAAGAGGGGACGTGACAACTTCCTCCACTCAGCGGTTTCACCAAATGACTGTCGACATTAACACAGAGCACTTGTTACATTTTGAAATTTAATTTCTTTTTAGTGTTTTACTGTTTTCCTCACTGAAACCTGAGTTCTACGGCGGCAGAGCCTGCCCGTTTTGTGCTCCACCGGAGAGCCAGTCACGAGCACCAGGCCTGCGCATAACAGGCGGTCCGTAACCTTTTGTTCAGTGAATAGATCGTGAATAGATGAAAATGAATCTTAGCAAAACTAACAAATAAGCTCTTGCTTGAAAATTACTTCAAAATATTTTGATAGGTATACTTGTTTTTTTTAAGCCATTAGTCTAAGCTGAGAATGAATCAACGAAGAGGATCTTTCTCTATTACTCTCAGCTTTTTTCTTCCTTCAGTGAATAAACAAGTTTTTACTGGTCATCTACTCTGCACCAAGTAAGAGGAGCACCCCGAATCTGAGTTGGAGCTGAATCTCTTAACTGGTTTTCCCACTGAACATTTTGTCCAAAAATGCCACATGGTTTCATCAGAAAAGGGCCAAATCTTACATGCCTATAACTCATGATAACTGAAAACGCAAATAAAGAGTATTTTACTGTACACTCATTGGTCCTGCTCTAGTGTTTCATGATTAGGCACTCAAGTGTCTAAAAGAATTGTACAATTAAAGATCCTATAACGTACACTGTGGCCTAACTATCAATAAACATTGCCAGGGCTGCGAAAATAACTCATAATACCTGTAAAAACAGAACAAAACTAGGATTTGGGTACTTTTTCTTTCACAGAATCACAGAATGTAAAACCTCTAAGATGCTTTAAAGATCCACTAAGCAGCTGAATAGTGGCACAAGAGGAAACAGAAGCTGGGAAATGAGACTCCATGAAGGTCAGCGAGCAGGATTTCTTCATGCCTCTGCTGTTATTACTAGCTTTTCAGTCTTGGGAAAGTTACTTAACACTAAGCCTCAATTTCCTCATCGGCAAAATTGGGATATTAACAACTCATCATACTGTTGTAAAGGTCCACTTAAAGATATTTAGATGGTATGTTGGTAACACATTCAGCCCCAGTGCCTATCACACAATAGCCCTAAGTAAGTGGCAATTGTTATTGTTTTTATTAATATAGGGTGGTAAGAATCAGAATTCACCTTTTCTTAATTTTTGTGAAGCCAGATCTTGGAAGAACGCCTAGGTTCCTTTTCTGCAGAAAGTTACTTGGGTTCTCAGTCTAATGATGGCAGGAATGCTGAGAAACAGGTGGAAGTAGATAAACAGGGAGGAGGCGATGCTGTTAAATGGCATCCGGTCCCCATGCTGGATGTCGGTTGGTTTTACAAAGTCACCTACAGACTGTTAACTAGAAGCAAACCAACCTGTGAACACCAATACACTCTCTACGCCCTGTGTGAAGTGGATGCGTTTCTAACCTCTCCCTACTTCCGTTTCCTCATCTGTAAAATGAGTTGTTTGGATGAAATGCGTTGAGTACGCAGCAGCTCTGAAATAGTAATACAGAATTATTCTACTCAGGTCTCTAACTAGAGAGGTAGTTGAGGTAGTTTTTCATTTTCCTTATTCATAGAGCACTGGCTCTGTTACATATCAGAGATAACAAAAATGGGAGTTCCCTGCCCCCACCAGCCCATTGTTTGCGGCCTCCAGTTACCCAGAAAAGGCAGGAGTGGGTGTGGGGAGGGAGTGGTCAAAGACACCTGCTGAGCAGGTTACTCTGATAAACGGTCCTTTAATTAGCTCCTAGAATCTTAACAACTCCTTTGTTAAAAACTAGTTATTCATTTGTCAGCATTTCTGGAGGAAACCTGATAGTCTGGTTACTAGGAATTCTACATCCTCTTAGGCAGAAACAGTGTTTCTCAACTTCTCTTCCATAGCAAATAAATGTCTAAATCTCTGAATGTCTTAAACAGACTGAACTGTGCCAGTTTCAAGGAGACCGAGGGAGTGCGTCCACACGGAAAGCGGGGACACGGTGTGCTGTTTGAAAGGAAGGCTTCATTGACTCCACGTGGACAGAAACGAGGAGGGGAGGCAAGTGGACAGCTGAGAAAGAGAGCAGGCCAGGGCACTGGGACCATGGGGCAACTGGCCAGTGAGCAGTCTTGACTGGAAAAGGACCAAACCGTCATGGGGAGGGGAGAGAGGGGCGAGATTAGCAAATAAAAAAGAGGCTTGCACAGGGAGAAGCTGGACGAGGACAAATAGAGAAAAAGGTGTGCTGCGGCCGTCCGTTAGGGCTTCGAGATGCACAGGCAATCCTGGTCCCTGTTCCTGGAGGTGGAAACCATCATTCAAACACCCTGCTGTGTCTGTGGTCTGAGCACTGTACAAAAAATACCTCAATAAACTGTTCGAGCTCACGTTGAGATTTCTCTGGGGATCACTGCTGAAAAATTCTGCAGGAGTGGGTATCAGCAGGAACGTTTACTCAAATGAGAATTATGTCATCTACTTTTATTTATATATGCCTCCAAATATTCCTATAAGCATTGCAAAATTAATTTTTCATTTGACATTGCAGGCATTGTTTAAGAAAATTTAGTGAGCACTAACAAAGAAATTAAGTATTCTTTGAAATGGTTCTTTGGTTTCTCAAGTTTTTTGTGTGTCTGTAATTCCACAGGGGTTATTTTTCAAAACTATAACAGAAATAGTAAGAAAATACTTTACACGTGCTTTACAAGTGTTTACAAACGCTTGAACGTGTTATTTACCAAAACGGTCATCTTACCATTTGAAGTTCACCTATCCTGGTGTAACATAACGCTCTGTTATAAAATGCTACATAACTGTTCTTGTCCATGTTGATGGCTGTAGTTAAATCTGTAATCGCTAGCTTGTAAGTCTACAAAGAAAAAAATAATTACGTGAGAAAGGTTAATGAGGGACTGAAATTCAAATGTAAAATAAATTCTTGATTCTCAGAGAGTTTTTGCCCACTCATTTAACCATTCTGTGTATCATCCATGAAATTAAGATAATCAAGCTAATTCTTCAGAGTTAATTAAGATCTCTTGGTAGGAATTACTATTAGAGTTTCTCTTACCTGTAAATAAAATTCAATATATAAACAGCTTTAATTTCGACGATTATATCATTGCCAATGTTGCTGTACAGCAAGGAGAAAATTATACGTGCTATTGGTAATGGAGCAGCAAGCCACATTCACCCAGCACACATTCACCAGCGCTTACTTGCTTCTGTCACTCGTCCTGTCACATCACATAATCGTCATGTTTTCTACCCACGTTCTCCTCTGCTTCCTCTCTGATGCTCCTCTGATACCCTAGATCATCCATTTCTATAGATAGTAATTTTCATGGAATTAACATGTAATGCAAGGACTTACCTTTGCTTTAAGGTATTATTTGCAAAATATTTCATATGAAATAGCTACAAAGAAAGGTCAGAAAAGAAAAGTAGAGAGAAACAAAGTATTCCAGGAAGTATCAGATATCAATGGTGCTCCTCACACCCTTGGATCCAGTCAGTTCTGTTTAGGAATCAATCATAAACTCAAGCAATGATTTTGTTCTCAGTGTGTATAACCATATTATTTAAAATAGAAAAGAATTTAAAAGAACTCAAATGTCCAACAATAAGGTAGTTAAAAATAAACTATGGTGAATATTATGCAGTCATTAAAACTGGTATCTTCAAATATTAAGTGTGAGAAGCAAGGCACGACAGAAATTATTTAAGTAGCGTAACCCCAATTTTGGAAAATACGTATCATATATTCTTAGAAGGAAAAAAAAAGACTGAATGCAAATGCACCAAAATGCTCTCAGGAATTGTCATTTGAGGGTGGCATGTGATTTTAATCTTCTTCTTTATTCCCCTCTGTATTTTCCAGATTCCCTACAATGAATATATACTACTTTCTTAATACAAATAAATTGTGTTATTTAAAATGTACATGTCAAAAATAAATATCACTATGTTGTGAGAAACTATGCGCTGAAATCCCTTGCAATGCGACAGTGTCAAGCAGCGTCTGTAGCTCAGCCATTCACACCCTGGTGATTCCCCTCAGAGAGAAGAAAAGGAAGGGAGTCCCCACTTGGCATCTGAGCACCTGCCCACTCACAGACTTCAGGAAACAGGCAGGACGTCGCCCCACCTTGTTGTAGTATTTCAGAACTCCTCGGGAGATATAGGCACGCACGCTCTGGGGATAAATCCTGATGGCTTCGTTACAGTTCAAGATTGCTTTGGAGTATCTGCCTTTCAAACCATAGAAGGCTACTCGGCTTAAATATGCCTTTTCAGAGAGAGAGAGGAGGGAAGCAGGAAAGGATGTTTTAGTAAAAGCATCAATTCTACCAAAATACATGGTAGTCTGAACAGATCTATGCCACCCAAAGACGGTTTAAAATACAGTCTTTTTTTCCACTCTCTTTTATTAGAAAAAATTTCAAACATACAGAATAATTGAAAGAATAGTCCAGTGAAGGTCCATATGCCTACCACCTGGATCTAGTCATTATTAACATTTGGTAATATTTGCTGTATCTATTTTTTTCTGAACTATTTGAAAATAAGTTGTAGACATCACTATACCTCACACCAGGTTTTCCAGTATGCATCCCCTGTGAATAAGACATTCTCCTACACAACCACACTACCACTACATAGCTAAGAGAATTAACTGTATTTCCCTAAAATCATCTAATATTTAGTCCATGTTCAACTTTCATAGACTTTTAAAATTGGGATCCAATCAAGCTTCACCCATTGAATTCTGTGTTGTCTCCACAGTCTCTTATAAGGCAGGAATAAACGTGTTAGCAAAACAAGAAATAAATAAATCAATAACGGTATATAAAATTATAATTACTAATAGGTTCATTAAAATATTAACAATATTTTAGATATATCACAATTCATAAAGCACTTTTACATATGTTAATATCCCTGCTGGAAATAATATTTTTAGTTCAAGGGGAAATACAGATATATGGATTACCAAAATGGATTATCATAGTTAGCTGAAAAGTAGGTATAAGTAATCAATTATCTCTAACTAATAACAGTGACATATAAAGGATGTAATAGCTGTAGCAAATTGAACTCACTCTCCAAATCACTGCAATTGTTCATTTAGATACCTGGTAATGTTTGGGATCGAGGGTAATTGCACGATTAAAATCCAGAATCGAGTTATCCTTGTGGAGTTTTACCTTACAAAGCCCACGTTGATAAAAGCATTCTGCAAAATCAGGATTTGCTTTCACAGCTTTAGTAAACGAATCTAAAGCCTAGAAGAGTATATTGTTAAAAAGTAAATCATTTAGTGAGTAGGGCATATTCATTTAAAATGTTAATAAATTACCGTATATAACTATTGTTGCAAAGTTTCACTCATTTTTGGTCATTTTAAATACATTTCTCCCAGTGACACTTGTAGAGCAAAGAAAAGTTATATTTATGCACAAATCAGGGTTATTATTAAAAATTTACAAGTCCTCTTACTCCCAGACTAATGTCTACATAATCCATGTTGTTAGATTACAATACTTTTGGAGGTGTAATTTTAATTGTTATTCTTCATATTGTATTTCTTCAAAGAAATCGCAACCAGCATATTTATTTTCCATGAGAGTCTAAGCACCATAGCAGGTACCATGAAATTTCAGAACAACAGAACTCCAGAATTTTTCCCAACATTGTAAAGCAAAACTGGGTTTGCTCTGTTCATCTAAAAGGGCTAAAAACTTGAAAAGATTTGTAATTAATCTTACATTTATTGGAATTTCTTAATGGAACAACTAATCAAATGTAACTCTTTTTTTTCCTCTGATGAGGAAGATTGGCCCTTAGTTAACATCTTTTGCCAATCTTCTTCTTTTTGCTTGAGGAAAATTGGCCCTCAGCTAACATTTGTGCCAACCTTCCTCTAATTTGTATGTGGGACGCTGCCACAGCATGGCTTGATGAGCAATATGTGGGTCTGCAGGCAGGATCCAAACCCATGAACCCTGGGCCACTGAAGTGGAGCATGAGAACCCAACCACTCCACCACCAGACCAGCCCCTCTTTTTTCAAGGCTATGGAGATGCAAGTGTTGGAACCTTTCCACCTCTAGACTCTAGGACTATAAGGACTGGAATGGTGTGTGTGTGTGTGTGTGTGCGTGCGTGTGTGTGTAGAGATGGCACTGTGGAATACTCCACGTGAGCCATTGGAAAATATCAGTTATTTTACATATTTATCATATCATCCACAATTTTGAAGTGGAGAATTGTGTAAGATAGCCTAATATTGGATAAATACATGACAATTGAATCAAGCGGTTTTCAATGGATCTGGCCATCTTAATAATTAATTTCAATCTGATTTGAATTGTTCAGTTGTCAATAGGAGAACTCAGTGTCCTAATCATTTTCCGTTTATTCTACGTTACATTGAAGCACTCAGTTTAAAGTACTTACAATTTAATAAGTAAATTCATATTAATGTGATGGAATTATTTTGCTATAATAATTTCCTACAGTTAGATTTATTGTTTCGGTAGGAAATACGTATTAGTGTTTAGAATGTTGTTAACAAACAAGCATCGAATAAAATGTGTTGAATAAATAAAACAACGTAGTAGATATTGCAGTGTGCAGATTGACTGTAATAAGCCAAGCTTTGCAAGAAGCTTGGGTCTAGTCATTCACTGTATAGAAAAAGACCTGAATACAAGCAATTTCTAAAATCACAAATAACCTATGTTCTTAAATAGAAAAAATACCATTTGTAAGTTGCCTTCGTCCATGTAACAAAGACCCAAGTTATACAGACAGTCTGCTGAAGCCGCTACGGCATTTGGTCCTTTATCTGAATGAGAAAAAACTTCCAACGCCTTTTTAAGCATTCTCATGGCTTCCTATAATGGTTAAAAAAAAAAAGGGGGGGGAAGAGAATGTTTCTTTTTCATATTTATTTAACACGGCAGCCTTAAATGTTGAAAGGAATCCTGAGCACGCTGCCCGACTCTCATTTCTCATGAGGGCACAGGCACAGATCTTGTTAGCGCACCGGGAGACGGGGACCCGGATGTGGAGTCTGACCGCAGCGAGTCGCACAGCGGGGCCCACCCTACAAGATAGTACCTAAGCAGGCTTACACAGGTGGACCTCTGGAACTGTAATTTCTAAATTCTAAAGGCTATTTTCTTATAGTCTTAAATCAGACAAATTTATAGACTCGTTTATGACCAATTTCCTAGTAATTTCCTGAAGGGAACACTGGGCAGCTATTAGTAAAAGATCTCCAATGACAACTTCTGATGGGGTTTTAATCAACCTTTATTTTGTCCTGCTGTGCTCCTAATGGGATTCCACTGACACTAGAAGATAAACTAACATCAAAAGTCACCCATTTAGGGGCCGCCCGGTGGCCGAGTGGTTAAGTTCGAGTACTCCACTTTGGCGGCCCAGGGTTTTACCAGTTCGGATGCCGGGCGCGGACAGGGCACCGCTGGTCAGGCCACGTTGAGGCAGCGTCCCACATGCCACAACTAGAAGGACCTGCAACTAAGATACACAACTATGGGGGCGGGGGGGGGGGCGTTGAGGAGATAAAGCGGGGGGGGGGGGGGGGGAGATGTCTCTTCATAAAAAAAAAAAAGTCACCCATTTAGACTACTTAGTCAAAACAGTTGAAACTCATTAATAAAAAAAAATTCAATTTTCCAGATAGAAATGTCTTTTCATAATTAATCAATGTATATATCTATATGGAAATACAAATACTTGTGACTCTTTAGCCCATTTTCTTGATCATATCAAATTGCTAGAGAAAGAATGCGATTTAGCCTGGATATGTTGTGTCCTCTGTGCATTTACTCCACATGTTTACAGCCCACCTCAGCACCCATCCTTCCATCCTCACTCTCAGCACATGACCTTGCCATAGAAAAAACCATCACCTTCTCACTTCTCCTTTTTACCTTTCAATGGGTCTCTATCTTCCTCCATTTCCATCTTTTTCTCTCCTGTCTTTAAATGGTCCCCTTTCTTCTCCTGTTCAGAGCTAACTCCTCAAGCTCTGTCCTTCACCCCAGCTCCTTCTGCCTCCCTGAGCACAACCTGTTACTTCCTTCCTTTTTTGGCTCTCTGTCCCTGTGCTGAAGTCCATAAAGTCTTCTGTCTCATTCAAAGTAAAATGAACACATCTTCACTTCCTCCTCTAGGGGATCTCCCACCTCCCTCTCAGGAGGGTCTGGAGGGTCTTCAGGTAAGGCAGGTATACATTCTGAAAACAGTACTGTGGCTGCTGTGTAGATAAAAGCTTGGAAGAGTGCAACATTGTTCTGGACTAGGATAACGACCACAGCAACAGAGAAAGGAAGTGGATTTGAGAGACATTTAGAAAGTAGAACCAAGAGAACATCACTACTGATTGGGTGGAAGGGGACAATCAAAGGAGACCCCAAGTTTCTAGCAGAGCAACGGGGGCGCGGGGGAAGATTAAGGTAAATATAAGAGTATTCTTAGAAGGAATGCACTATCAGAAAGGTGTCAGTTCTCCCTAAAATAATCTAGGGATTCAATACAATTCAATCACAATTCCAATAGGGTTTTTAATGGATCCTGACAAGCTGAATTTAAAATGTATATGGAAGAGTAAAGGCCCAAGACGAATCAGGAATTTCCTGGAGAAGAATATGGTGCAGGGACTTGCTCTACAAGATACCAAGAACCACGATAAAGCCAGAGTAATTCAGACATGGTACCACTGGGCCATGGATAGAAAAATTGACCAAAAGAACAGGATAGAGTGCCTACAATCAGATCCACACATACATGAAAACTTATGGTATGATAGATGTGACACTTCAAATCTTTGGGTTAAGGAGAACATTTCAATAAATGATGCTGGAACATCTGAATATCCATATGGGGAGAATTGAAATTTTATTGTCACACTCCAAAAAAACCAATTTAAAATAGAGCAAGTTCTTAAATGGAAAAAGTAAAACTTTAAAACCTTTAGAAAAAAATATGGGAGAATATCTTTATGACCTTGGCTAGGGTCGGGCTTCTTAAACAAGAATTTTTTTTTTAATTTTATGACAATAAAACAAAATGAGATATATTTGACTACATTAAAATTAAGAACCTCTGTTCATCAAAAGACACCATAAAGAAAATTAAAAGACCAGCCACAAATTGCAAGAAGACACATGGCACACACATAACCCACCAAGGATTAATGTACAGAATTTATTTTTTTAATGCCTAAAATTGATAAGAACAAAACAAATAAAAATGTGTATGGGAAATTTATAGAACAGGAAATATGAGTGGCTAACAAACATATAAAAATATGTACTCAAACTGAGAAATGTGAATTAAGACCATGATGAGACATCAGTTTTTACCCACCAAATTGACAAAAATAAAGTCTGACAACACCAATTATTGTAGAGGATCCAGATCAATAGGAACACTCACACACTGCAAGTGGGAGAATAAATTGGTGCAACCCAATGGAACAATGTGTCATTTTGTTGAAAATTCAACATTCACATTCTCTACATACCAGCAATTCTACTCCTAGGAATCTATCCTGGAAAACTACTCTCCCTATAAACAAAAGACATGAAAAAGAATATTTATAGCAGCCCTACTCTTAAGAAGAAAAAATAAATAAAAGGAAACAACTCAAATGTTAATTAACAGAAAAATCAATCAATAAATGCTATAATTTAGTTTTGTAAAAAAAAATGTAAGCAGTGATTCTAACACAAAATAAAATTTCCATTAAGTGGCTTAGTAAATGTTACTCAAGACTTCTCACCTTTCTTCTCTTGGCCTTCATTTGGGTTTTTGCTAAGAGAGTGTACGTGGTGATATCCGGCCTGTTCAAAATGAGCCCATCCAAGACCTGGATGGCCTTGTCGTGGTTCTCACAAAACGAATAAACGAGCGCTTGCTGTATAGGGCTCAACTTAATGAGACCTAGAAGGAAAGGAAACTCTATCAATACCTTTGCCAAGGATCTAGGATTTAGAATAGAATTATTTTAAGGAATTCCTTGATTCAATAGGAATTCAATAATCTATATTTATAGTATGAATTAACAAAGCAATATGACACTAAAATCTATTTGCTATCAACAGATAATAAGACTTCCCAATGACAAACAAAAAAAGTCAAAATGTAAACCTGGTGTTTCTGATAATAATCCCCCTCACAAAATTCACTGTGTTATGGAGCATTTTACTAACTGATTATGTACATGTGAAACTGAAATTTTACAGTTTCAGAATCTAACTTTGAATTTCAAGTGACCCCTTCACCTCATCTGTACACAGCTATCACAACAAGTATCAAAGTTTTAAAGAGGTATTACTTTTTAAACTAAGACAATTATAATTTTGCATTAATTATATTTACCTTTGTTCATTTCTGCTACTTGATAAATAGTGAACTTGGCAAGATCATAGCATTTCATCATAAGGAGATATTGTCCTCTGGAAGAAATAATACTTTTTAATTCTAAGTAGTTAAAAGTAATTTTTCTAAAACAAAGTTTCCTATAACCAGTTACTTAAAATTTTACAATTATAGTACATTCATTCATACTTACGTATGTATGATATAAACAATGTGAAAATTATATGCATTTTATAGAGTATAAATAGACCAATTAGCATGGAGATGTGATCAGAAAACAATTTAGGAAATGTGAAGCTGAAAGGAAAATACTCAAATCTTTTTGCAATGATCTGTATTTAAAATGTTTTACTCTGTTGCTGAGAAATTATTAAAAGATAAACATAGTTCAAGGAACATAACAGGGGGAAGTATTCACCTAAATTGATAAACTATGACTCAAGAGTTAAAAGACAAAGCAAGCTTTTCTCAGACAGCATTGTTCCAGTGCATTTTTCCATGTCTGTGAGTCTGTTTCTCATGTTAGAGACCAGAACGTTTTTGGGTAGTGATAACTCATAACTCGCAATGGGTTCCTTTACAGCAAGCTCGACTACATTTGAAACACAATTCAATGTGTCATTTTTCTTTCACTGAATTAGCTGAGGTTTATGTTTGATACCTCTGTGGACACAAACAACTGTTCAAAACATGTTACCTTACTTTCATGAGCTATGTGATAGCTATATAACCAGTAGTCTAAAACAGCCACAAAGAACTGAAAAACAAATCCGTTGTGTTTTGATATATGGATAGAGCAAAAGGAAAGACCTGGTTATCTTATATTATAAATTATCTTAAAGTTTAACAAAAACAATCACTACATCTAACTTGATGGTTGGGAGATGGCCATTGCTGGGAGATTAAATATAAAATGAGGAGACTGGAAAGACCAAGAGAGAACTAAGATCCCAACAGCTAGCTCAGAGGCTGAGTTATCCAAGGAGAATTCTGTCTATTTCTATGCTCATACCTGATTATGTATAATTGGATTCCATCTGGGTGAAGGTGGATCGCACGAGATAACTCTCTTACTGCCTTTTTCAGTTTATGCAGCTGTTGAGTGATAAACAGAAACTTAACTCATAATAATACTGCTTGCTTCCTTTCTGAGGTTTATCCCCTCCCATCTTTCAATACAGAAATTTTGCAGGAATATCTCCTAATACACATGCTTTTCTTAAGAATCATCAGAGCAAATGGAATTCAGAGAAGTAAAAAAAAAAAGTTGGCGATGCAAAGTCTTTCGGTTTTTTAAAACCATTTATCTTTAATTTTGAAGAATAATTACATATACCCACATATATATTATTTTACGTAAATGTGATTATATCATACATTCTAGTTTGTTTTCCTTTTTTGTTTAGCTTTTCAGTTTTTCTCTCTCGACCATAACACCTTTTTCACCAAACTTTATCCAGGTTAATAAACTAGCAAAGGAGGGTAAAATAAAAAGGAAACAATTCCACTTAAAAATAAGGAAAGTAAAACAAGCTTGCACTTAAATTAATAAGTAAATGAATGAATAAAACAAATACAGGATTGATGAAAAAACAGATCTGTTTAAAATCAATATATAATGAAAAGTAAACATTGATTCTTTCCTTAACACTGTCACAGAAGTACAATCTGGATTTGTACAAATTTGGGAACAAAAATCTATTATCATTCGGGATATTACAAAAGGAGGACTACTCAGATCCCAGCAAAATGAACCTGGGGCAACAAGGACTCCTCTTCGTATGCTGATATGGTGACACAAAGAGGAGAAGGCACGAAACTAGTGGGTGCAAGGAAGTAGGCAGTATCTGTTGAAATGGTACAAACTGTTTAGAGAAAATAGTGGATGGAGTCAAAAGACAGAACCCAAAAGGAGAGAGTCTGAGACGTGTTTAAATAAATTTGAGAATTTCTGGGGAACTTCAGGTCTGCTCTTCTCAAACTGACCTGCTCAGGTTGGTGTAATTAACAAACCATCTAGTCATATGTCAGCACTGCTCCACCTGTTCCAGCTATACATATCTGTGCATTGAGGAAACCTTGGTTGGGAAAGATGGAGGCTCACTCTCTGATCTTTACAAGCTGTCCTGGGGTTGGACTTCTCCAGGTGGCCTTAGATTGGGTTCACTATGGAGGCTGAACCCACACAGTAGGCATATGTATTCTTCTCTATATATACAGAGGGTTTCATTTGTAATTGTCTTATTTACATGGGATCATATTGTACATACCTTATACTCTTCTGAATCTTGCTTTTCTTACTCAACAATATCTCATGGAAATCCCTCTAAGTCAGCTGATATAGTTCTAATCACTCTTTTTATTGATTACATAATAGTCTATGGTGTGAACACAACACAATTTATTCAACCATTATTGTGTAGAGATTTTTGCCTCTCAGAACAATGAGTCTTTGAATATATGTCCTTACGCTCTGCTATTACGCTGGTGCTTTGCTTCCTAAGTATGCTCAGAGGAAATTCTAACTTCCACAGGAGGCCTCAACTCCATCAACAGGGAGTTAAGCAAAAAGACCACACATCCTTCCCATCCCTTCCCCAACAGAGGTAAAGAGCAAATTTTCACTGGGGACAATACTAAACCTTCCCTGAATCTTCTACCACCATCATCAGGAAGGTAAGGACTTTGAATGGGACTCTGGTCACACTGGGTCCCAAGATGTAGACAATGGAGAACAGAGCCTCCAGCCAACTCTCGGTGGACATGCAGCTTTTGCAGGAAATAACCTCTGTTATTTTAAGATGGTGATTTTAAAGTTTTGTTTGTTGTTGTTGTTGTTTTTCCACAGCATAACCTAGCCTATTCTGGCTGAAACCAGTGTGAGTAAAGGACTGTAGGGGAAGAGGGCAGAAAGGTGAGGAGGAGCCAGTTCACGTGGGCTCTAGGAGACCTCGGGATTTTGTAGGATTTAGCTTTTATTCTGAGCGCAAAAGGAAGCTGTTGAAAGGTTTGGGTCAAAGAAGTGAAATAATCTGACATGTTTTAACAAGATCACTATGGCTGCTCTTTTGAAAATCCATCCAAAAGGAGTGAAAACAGAAGCAAGAAGACCAGGAGGTCACCAACATAATCCTTGTGAGAATGACAGTGTCCTGGAAGGGGTTGTTAGCGGTGGCGTCATGGAAAGGAACAGCTCTTTTGAAAGGTGGAGACAGCAGTTAACAGTGTCTGTCTCTGGAGAGTCAGATTTGATTGGAGTCAGGAAGACCTTTTACTATTCATTGTATTCATTTGACTTTGTTAGACTAAGGATATATTACATTCTTTTACTTAAATAAGTTGTAAAATTTGAACAAAATTTAAAGGAAAGTATGAATGAGTAGGATCCCATTCTATGCAAGGATCCCGTTTTATGAGCCCACCCACTTACACACGCACACACACAAACACATGCAAACACACATATACACAAACACAAACAAAAACCAACACAGTCCAAAATGTTAATAGTAGTTCTCTCTAGAGAATGAAATTATGGATCACTTTTAATTTATTCTTATTTGCATACATATATTACATTCAATAAGTATATATTGCTTTTGTAATAAGGAAAAAACAGGTATTACTTAAAAAAATGAAAGGGCCAGCCCCATGGCGTAGTGGTTAAGTTCACGCACTCTGCTCCAGTGGCCTGGAGTTCACAGATTGATATCCTGGGTGCAGACATACACACCACTCATCAAGCCATGCTGTGGTGGCATCCTACATACAAAGTAGAGGAATATTGGCAACAGATGTTAGCTCAGGGACAATCTTCCTCACCAAAAAATAAAAAAGACAAAACTTCACACCTCATCATAGAGGCGTCATAAGCGGATAATTATAGTTAACTATATCTACTTGATATTTATTGCTTACAAATGCATTAGCCTGTGTAATTAGCTGAAAAAGAATACATTAATATATTTTAAATTGTATTGAACAAATATCTAGAAAATTAAAACCTTTAAAAAAAATCAAACTTTAAATACCTTATGATAGGTTTCTGCTCGACAAATATAGCTTTGAATATATAAAGGATCAAGTTTAATAGCCTCAGAAAAATGCCAAATGGCTTCAATGTAGTTATCCAAGTGTAGCAGATATATGAGGCCAATATTTATATAAGCCAAACTAACAGTTCTAAAAAAACAAGAAAGCAAAATCTTGTTAGACATTTTAATTATTCCACATGTTCTCCAATTACAAATGAACCTCATGAAATATATACATCAATATATATCAGGTTTTTTTTTTAATGTTTTACTAAAGCAAAGTAAAACTCTCTCTATTAAAAATGATAAACACCTTTATAAAATCCTTAGGAGGGAATCAACATTTGCAGAGTTTGTGCTAGGAAGAGAATTCCTGAAGTCTCCTAGACTCTCAGCTATACTTTACTCCTCCTTGACTTAATCTGGACTTATCCTGAATTACAAACATAGTTTCCCTTAACTCAAAAGTCTTCGCCTCAGGCTATGTTAAATTCACCATGAGTAACAGTGAGAAACAGTAATATTCTCAGGCTTGGGGTTAAAAATCCTCTCCACATAGGTATTAACCCAGTCTCTTTTCTATATCAAATAAATGGTGTTTTTCTCTCTCAAAATCAAACAATTTTCAATACAGAAATGGCCTTAGAAATTACTTTGTTCCATGCCTCTATTTCAAAATACACGTCGTACAGCCTGACTTGATCGGAGCCCAGACCCTGTGCCTCAAAGACAGCAAAGTTCCTACTACCCATTTTTTGGATTTTTTGTAACTGAAACTCTTTTCTTTCCCTTCCTAGCTCAAAAATACCCGAAAGAAAACCACTGTGGCCATTATGGAGCCATGCTCCATGACTTTCCTGAGCCATGCGGGAAGTTTACCTTAGATAAGCTTAGTAAACAGTAGGCTGCTTGGCATGGAATTGGCATGGTTTGTTATTCTTTCTGACACCTTCTGTTTTAAGGAATGCTTCATGGAAAAGAAGGGGAATTATTTAATTAAATTCCGTGTTTTACAGCTTAGCTTTCTGACTAGCGTGTGTAAATTTCAGTCAGGGTTTCTTCCTGAACCTGCGTTCTAATGTTACTGGCTTTTTTCTTTTGCTTTACTAAGCAAAATGCAGTCAGATGATCTAAATAGAGGGTTCCCTCCTCTTGAGCCATAGGCTGTGCACAGCAGTGATATATCCAAGCAGAAGAGTCTGCCATTTTAAAACTGGAAGACAGTTTTGCATAAAGTTAACTTCCAAAAGCTCTAACCTGGGCATCCCCGAGCTGCTCTTAACAACTTGCTGATTCTGTTATTCACAGACTTAACTCCTCTCAAGCCCAGTCAATGTGTAAAATTTGCAAAAGCATCTGAGGCAAACAGATGTTGAGAACAGGTCTTATTTTAGAAGCAACCTTGCTCTTAGAAGCAGTATTCCACTTCTGGGATGACGTTATAATTGTCTCATTTTTACAAGGTTATTAATAATGAGAAGGAAAAGCATTTTCCTTTCATTCTGTTTTTTTCTTAATTTTATCCAAAAGTAAAACGAGTAAGGATGAAAAGAAAAACGTACCTGTCTAGAGAAATAACAGTTTCGAAGTCACAGATTGCCAGCAACCAAAGTTTTTGATCAGCATAGAGTATGCCCCGATGCAGAAAACAACTCAGATTCTCATAGCTGTCATTTATGAGAGCTTAAAAATAGAAGGGTATCTCTTAGTCAGGTTCTGAATGAACATATCTGAGTTATGTTTTAGTAAATACCCTTCCTACTGCTTATTCTTATTTTTTTAACATTACATAAAATAAAGCATCTACAATGAATGTGCTTACTTGGAAAGTGAAAAACAGTATTCACATACAAATGTATTTGTTTATAAGTAACAACGTGGCTATTGTGGTCCACAAAGTCATTAGAACTGGAAGCCATGCGGGTGGTAATCGAGGACAGTCCACTCACTTTACAGATGAAGACACTAAGGTCCGAAGTGGCTGGGTACATTGACCATGGTGGTGCTGTAAGTCAACGGAAAGATGGGCCTAGAAACTTCTGACTCACTTCAGTGAATTGCAGTCAGAAGGGCCCCAGAAAGACAGGAAGGCATTGCTGCTACTGGCCAAAGAACAGGCTCTGGTACAAGGCCAGATGGGCAGACGGCAGAGGTCAGGTTTACACAGACAAACCAGGACAGGCAGCCCAAGGAGGCCACGCCAAGACAAGCAGAACTCGGAGTTAAGGCAGGTAGCTTGACTACGCATGTCCCGACTAACAGAAGCACGGGGCAAAAAGAAGCTCCCCTCAGTACTCCAGGTGTGTAGCTCTCATCAGCAACCAGTCTAGAATCATCTAATGTCTCCTCGCTTACCCATTCCCCCTTCGCTTTCAAGAACGTGCCAGTGGCTTAGATGGGCTTTCCACAACATTTGATCCATGCCTTCTAAGCTTCTTAAGCCCATTCTGGCTAAGAAGGGAAAGTTTTGCCAAAAATATGCATAATGCTCACAGTCTGGCACACAAATAGTCACAGCACTAGATGTGGGGAAGTTTCTCTAGTAGATGCAATAATCATACAGATTAGGTAAATAATCACGTGAAGGCAGTCTGACTGCTCAGTTCACAGTAAACTATTAGAATTACTTAAACTCTCTGTGACTCAGTTTTCTCATCAGTAAAATGGGGATGATAATAGCACCTACTTCATAACATTATTCTGAACCTTAATTGAGACACTCCATATATAGCATTTCGAATAGTGCTTGGCAAGTAGTAAAATGCCCAATAAATGTTAGATGTTAATCTTAGCTTAGAAAAACATCAAAGGTCCTTTTTGATTGTGGAAGGTAAAACTCCTTGGGCTACCCTACGGGAAAAGATTGAAGCCAAAATCCAGCTGGTCTGCTCCGAATAATTAAATAACTGGGATTTTGTATTATTGTGATAGCCTAGAAAAGACGGGGTGAGGAGCCCAAAACGTGGAGAAGAGGGAACTAGGAGAAAGAGGCCCTTAGAGAAGACCAGGGAACAAGGCGTTCAGCCAGATGGCAGATGGACAGAGCTAACAGAGTGAGATATGCTTCCAGAAATAAGGTGTGTGACCTTCAATTTTAAATTGTCTGTGCTCACTTTACCCTTTGAACCCTAAATCGTTCAGTAATGGACAGGAGCCACAAGAAGTGAGTGGGTGAGCAAAAGTGGAGAGGCCATCAGAAAGCAAAAATTAGATGCAAAGATTGCAAGAGAACTCAACAGGAATCCTCAGCTTTCTCCTCCAAGACTCCTTGGAAATAGAAGGGAGGGCACTAGACTCTTCTGGGCACAAACGATAGGATTTGAGTGATTTTATTTGAAAATTCATGGGAAGGGGACTTCAGACGGCAAGTGGACTTAGAGATAAGTCACAGTCATCTTGGATCCCTCCCTGCGGAGCGACGCATTCTCTCTGGAGAGTCTGATTGTCCCCTAACTCTAGATATTGTCTTGTCCAGAATGAGGAAGTGCTAGCACTTTGCTCCCAGGTGAATACAGCTCTGTTGGAGCGTTGGGCTCTGGCTGGAATTTGCCAGTCCGAATGGGCTAATTTATTCAGCTGAGGACTGTTTACTGAGCACTTACTCTATGCCCACAATTGTGCTGTGCATATTCATATGCCAGGAATGCACCGATAGAAGGTCAAGCGGAAATGGCCACTTTCAGCTGTTGGCGTCCTCTACCTACTGAGGATTCTCAAAGTCTATTTTCAGTTTAAGGGTTAAAAAATTCTGAATTCGACTAATCCATGGGCTGGGCCTATGGAGTAGGACACAGCCCACCAGGACAATTTATTGCCATTTTAGCAAGCTGACTAGGAAATAGACGTGGATTTCCGGAAATATCCTCCGAACTCAATATATGGAGATTTCATTGATATTATATTCTCCCTTTGCCACAGTTACACACACATGTAAATACGCACACTCACACACACTAAAAGCATGTATTCGAAACACTTAGCTAAACCATTGTTGCTTATAAGTATATATGCATATATGTACTATATAAACAGATATTAATATATAAGAATATATATTTACTATATAATAATACACATATTACATTAGTCATCCCACGTTAATATTCCACTCCCTGGAAGTGAGGTGCTGAACCTCAGATCAAATTCCCATCTCTGTGCAGTCGAAGGGAAAGCACCTGAAACGCTGAAATCCTGGAGCGCTCTGAAAGGGTTGCACTTTCTCAATAAGCAGGCCCTGTTGTAGAAGGCTACCCAGTTGTTAGGATCCAAGTGAATGGCAACAGAAAGATCCTGAATTGCTTGCTTATATAAGCGCCGTTTAAAATACGCTCTCCCTCGGCATGTCCTAGAAAAAGAAAAAAAATCATTTTAACAGGTATTGCAAAAAACATGTATTTTCTTTTTTTGGCAAACATATACAACTAGTCTTATATTTGAATAACAATTTGTGATTATTTCTCCTTGCTTCCCAAGAGTGTTTGGTCATGATGTTAATAGCAAAAAGGATATGAACTTTTTATAAATAAATCAATTATACTTTATCATATATATAATTATATGTTTATTAGTTATATGCTTACTAATTTTATTATATTTCTTACTTTTACCTTACAATAAAATAGAGATGAGATTTATTTTTATTACTTGTTGAGTACCCAAAATGTTAGACTCTAATTTATAGAAGATTGTTCTCTAGAAAAAACAGATAATCCATTTTGAAGGAAACGGGCCTCAGCGAGTAGAGTTCTTATGGGATTTTTCTCTGGCACTGAAGATCCACCCAAATAAACGGGAGGCTGCTCTATTATGGATAAAACTATTGTATCAGTTGTGTGAATTGGATTCTGTCTCCATTAACTTCTGACTTCAATTTTGAAATTATCATTGACCTATATAAATTCCTGGAAATCTCATTTTTAATCATTTAATAATGTAAAGGAAATTAGCTTTTAGAAATAAAATAAAGAAGACATTTAAGAAAAAAAACAAGAGGAATAAGCTAGTAGGTTGCCTGCTCTGAAGAAGTTAAAATAAATCCAGGAGAAGGATAAATAGAGGTTCAAGAAAGTTAGATTATGAAAGCAATGGTAATCTGGAGAAAAGCATGCAGCCAGTATGTTAGCAGACAGGTAACAGTCTTTCAAAAGCACTAAGCATCCTGAGACCCAGGACATTTTATCCTGGAGCAAAATATTTTTTACCCTATTATTTTTTTTTTAAAGATTGGCACCTGAACTAACATCTGTCGCTAATCTTCTTTTCTTTGTTGGTTTTTTCCCCTTCTTCTTCTCCCCAAAGCCCCCCAGCACATAGTTGTATATTCTAGTTGTGGGTCCTTCTGGTTATGCTATGTGAGATGCTGCCTCAACATGGCTTGATGAGCAGTGCCATGTCCACACCCAGGATCCAAACCGGCGAAACCCTAGGCCACTGAAGCGGAGCATGCGAGCTTTACGACTCTGCCATGGGGCTGGCCCCTACCCTATCTTTAAGAAATGTCTTATGTATTTTCTATTGAATACGAGAAATTTATATTTATTTTTAATTATTTCTGATTGCTAAAGAATATTACTAATTATTTTTCAGCATATATATGATTCTGAACTTAAAATCTTACAGAATAAACCTTTAGTAATATTTAGTAATAACCTTTAGTAATTGACCATTAAAGTCATGGCAATTCTTCAAACACACTGACTTTTGCATCTGTTCCTTCTCTCGTTTCTACTGCTTTCATACTTCCCTCTCATCAACTCACACCTGGGCTAGTAGTTTTACTCCATTCCTAGCTGTAGAGTGATCAGATTTGATCATCACATAATAAAGATCTTTTTTCTCAAAAACTTTCAACAGCCCCTATTGACAATGGGATAAGGTCAAATTCTTTAAAATGGCACATAAGGCCCTCCATAAGATAGCACTGTCTTATAATACCTTGAATTGACCTTTTTGCTCTTCTTCAATTAATTCGATGCCTTCCTACCTAAAGGTAATACCCCTTTAACTCAAGAAGACGTAGACAACCAGAATAGACCAACAACTAGGAAAGAATTTTGAGCGTTTCAAAAAAGTTTGCCTTCCCTTCAAAAGGCTACAAGCTGGGATAATTTTAGAAGTAAGTTATTTTAAACTTTCAAAGAACAAAAATTGTCCAATCCTAAAGGACATATTTCTAAGAAAAGAAATAAATGGAAGGGTTAATTTATCTTGAGAAAGTAGTGAAATCCTAAAATCAAAATCTGACTACAAAAATAGTGAACACTCTTACAATGAATATAGATGAAGATTCTTAAAGAAAGTTAAGACAAAAAGAATTCAGTATAGTTCAATAATATTCCCTCTAAACATATATGATGGCCAAGAGGCATTTACCCTTCAAAATTAGAAAGCCTATAAACATGAGCATCTTATAAGTAGATCACAAGAAAAAAATTAAATAAGAAGAAAAGGATAAAAGGATACTCTCTTGAAATAATTAAAAAACGAATGGCTCCAAAATTACAACTATTATATTTTCTGGTAAAAAAAAAAAAAGCATTTTCATTAAATTCAAAAGATGAAGATTCCTATTATCACTAACATTATTTTTAAGTTAAAGTCAATGCAACAATAAAATGAGTTGGGGGATTAGGGGAGAGCAAAAATGGTAGAATAGAGAACTCCAGAACACCATCCTTCCAAAAAGGCAATGAATAAGCTGGCAAAAACTGTCATAATCAACTTTTTTGGAACTCTGAAGTCTAATTAAAACTTACGACAACCAGGGGAAAGCTTAATAAAGGGGAAAGAACTGCTGAATTTTGGTAAGAGAGCTCTATAGTGTTCTAACTTACCCTATTACCCTCCCCCACTTCCCAGCTCCACGGTGGCCTTGAGGACGGCAAGCTGCATTCCTGGTGCAGGTTGCTAGTACAAAAGGGAGCAATACAAATCTCGTTCTCAAAGAACTGTGGTTATGTGTTTTGACCTGTCTGGTGGATCACTGAAAGCCTGGTTCAATGGTTTCCCTCTGTTTTGTCTGCCTTGGAGCTTCCTTGACGGTATTGATCAAAAGCATTTAAAGGTAAATGCATTGACTGCTGCCACCTGGGGCACAGGATAACAGCTGGGGCAAGCAATAGACAGACCAAAAAGCCTGGGAAGGAAGAAGCTAAAGAAGGAGATACCTGGGGGAATGAGGGTTTTGGAAAGTTTCCACATATTCCAGGGACTCTAGAAGGCCACCTGCAAGCCCAAGGCTGGAAGCATGCACAGAAAAGACCTAAGAAGAATGTAAGCTCTCACCTGAATCTGGCTGATTCAGACTCCATGAAAGCAGGAAATGAAAGCTAAGGCATTGAAGTTGTAACTGCCTGGGTAAACACTGAAGGAGTGCCCCAACACAAAGTCAATCTGCAAAGACTGAGAGAAGCATTGTTGTTGTTGTTGTCTGGCTACAGGAGTTTAAGGAAACCTTGGTCAAATCACTAGCTGACAAGTAAGCTAACAGAACAGAGACTTCAGTGGCCACACACGACAAAGAATATTGACTTTACAAAATCAGTTCAGAAAAGTCACTAAACAAACAACATGAATGACAAGAAGCAGTGACAACAAATCCTGGAAGGGGAGAGGGTGAATCCAATATCCCAAGTCACCACATTATAATATTCAAAGTGTCTACTTTTCAACAAAAAATTACAAGTAATGCAAAGGACCAAGAAAGTATGGCACATTCACAGGACAAAAAGAAATTAATAGAAACTGTCCCTGCGGAAGCCCAGACATTGGACATACTAAACAAAGACTTTAAATTAACTGTCTTAAATATGCTCAAAGAGCTAAAGACAACCATAGACAAAGAACTAAAGGAAACTAAGAGAATGATATCTCAACACATAGAAAACATCAATAAAGATAGGGATAGATAGAAATTGAATGATAGATAAGCTATAAAAAAAGGAACCAAATTGAAATTCTGGAGTTGAAAAGCACAAAAACTGAAATGAAAAATTCACTATCAAGTTTTAACAACAGATTTGAGTAGGCAAAAAAAGACTCAGTGAACTTGAAGTAGGTCAATTCAGATTGTCCAGTCGGAGAAGTAAAAAGAGCGAAAAAGTAAATAAACAAGGCCTGGGGGACCTAAGGAACACCATCAAACATACGAACACATGCATATGTTGCAAGTTGCAGAGGAAAAGGAGATAGCAAAAGGGTCAGAAATAACATTTTAAAAAGTAATGAGTGAAAACTTCCTAAATTTGATGAAACAAATAAGTCTATGCATCCAAGAAGCTCAAAGATTCCATGTAGGATAAACTCCGAAAGATTCACACAAAGATGCCTTATAATTAACCTGTCAAAAGACAAAGACAAAAAGAGAATCTTAAAGCAAGAGAAAAGCAACTCATCATGTACCTGTGATCCTCAATAAGATTAACAGTTGATTTCTCATCAGAAATCTTGGAGGCCAGAAGACAGTGGGATGGCATATTCAAAGTGCTTAAAGAAAAAATTACCAACCAAGAATTCCACATCTGGCAAGCTATCCCTCAAAACTGAAGAATTTAAAACATTCCCAAATAAATAAAAACTGAGGGAGTTCATTGCTGGTAGACCTGCATTACTAGAAATGCTAAAAGCAGTCCCTAAGCCTGAAATGAAAGACATCAGGCAATAACTTGAAGCCATAAGAAGAAATAAAGAACACCAGTAAAGGTAACAAAGAGGTAAATACAAAAGCCAGTATTATAATATTTTTGTTTTTAACTTCTCCTTTTTTCCTATGTTACTTAAAAAGCGAATGCATATAGCAATGATTACAAATCTATGTCAAGGTATATACAATGTATAAAGATATAATTCACGACAATAACAACATGAAGCTGGGGGTGGAGCTACATATAGGACAGTAACATTTTAGTATACAATTGAAACCAAATTGCTATTAAATTCTAACTAGATTGTTGTAAATTATCATTTTAATTGTAATCTCAGGGTAACCACTAAGAAAATAGCAATAATATAGAATAAATAAAAGAAGTGAGAAGGGACTCAAAATGGTACACTAGAAAAGAAATGAATTAAACACCAAAAAAGGCAGTAATAAAGAAATTGAGGAAAAAAAATTATACAATACATACAGAAAACATATAGAAAAATATGGTATATAGCAGTTAGTTTTTCCTTACCAGTAATTACATTAAATGTAAATGTATCAAACTCTCCAATTAAAAGGTAGATATCACCAGACTGAATTTTTAAAATAACATAATCAGCTATATGCTGTGTAAAAGAAACCCAATTTAGAACCAAAGACACAAATAGGATGGAAAAAGGTATTCCATATAAATAGTAAACAAA